AAGGACAGGGACAAGGACCAGGACAACACCACTATACTCTGCAGAGAAACATTCCAAAGACTATTTACTGTTTTTCTCTCTGGCCTCAAACGGGATCACCACATGATGACATCATCACATGACCACATATTTAGATGAAAGTGTTTAGGTGTGGTCCTGCCTCAATGATCAAAGGAATACGATGATGTCGTCAGGATACGACACGGGCTAAGGTCGTAGAAGTGGCTACGATCAAGAACCAGAAGATGGTCCAAAATGGACGAGGATTAAATAATGGATGAATTAATCTGAATAAGGCAGTGATGCAACAGCTGCCAAAAAACACAAAGTGAAGTTTTCTTTATCTGGAGGTTTTTTTTTTCCAAACTCGACACATTCACCAAAAACACACACAGGTATAAAAATGCAGTAATACTACATTACTGATGTAATCCGATGTGAAACCTCAAAGAATGAGAAAAAGAAAAATAATAATTTAAGTAAAAATAGAACTGTCCATTTCTGTCCTGACTTCATTCAGTGTCAGGACTACACTACCCAATAACCATGAGACGAGAATGCATATCCATAACCTCGAGGGGAGGCCATCAGTACCCAAAGGTCCCCTCCCCAGATTTTATTCGAATCATTACAGCAACCACCAACAGCACAATCATTCGAAACCTCAGGATACCTAAGGCTCCTCCATCCTCTACAAAAGCCCCCACCTCCAAAATGGGCATGAAGCAGGCACCCACATTTGTAAACTCTCGGTGTGGTCCTGACGTACACCATCGCCGCACACAGCCCACCGCCTCTAAAGGTGTCCTAAAACCAGCGTCCACATTTATGGCTCCAAGGCGTGGCCCAGAGACACGGCAACGCCGCGCACAGGTTCCCACCACTGAAGTGGAAATTAAGCCAGCACCTACATATATGACTTCAAGACGTGGCCCTGAAGCCCACTACCGCCGCAAAAAGCCCCCTACCGCTCTGGGAGAAATACAACAAGCGTCCACATTCATGCCCCCTAGATACGAGACGCACCAACGCTGCATACAGGGCAACGCCAAGGAGTTCAAACGACTCATCACACAAACCAGGCACAACACGATAATCCGTGATATCATGATCCCCAAAGGTCCTCCACCTTCCGAGGTCCTTCCAACTCATGAGGATCTAATGAAAGCTGAAGCAGCGAAGAGGCTGCATGTGCTGGAGAGAGAACACACCTGTCAACAGCTACGGGCCGAGGCTGAGAAAGAGGCCGAGGAAATTCGTCAGCGCTTACTGGATCGGGCCCACTACTTGAGGATGGAGCAGGAATACGATGTCAGAAACTTTAACAGCGAAATCAAGGGAGCTAAGTTCCGCACTCTGAATTTGGCCAAGATTGAGGAAAACAAACTGCTTCAGGAACAGTTTTTGAAGAAAGAGAAGGAACTGGACGCACTGGACCATTTGACAAACAAAAAGTTCTGGGACGCCATTGATGAGAGAGAAAGGCGGCAACGAGAATTCCGAATAGAGAGACGAAAGTGCATCGGTGAGCAGATCCTGCAAAACATGGAGAAGAAGAAGCTTCATGTTGAGATGAACAGGCTGGAGGGACAACGGTACCGTGAACAGTACGAGGCCAAACGAATGCAATTGCTGATGGACAAAAAGAGGAAGAGGGAGGAGTACCGTCGCAAGCATGAGGATATTTTAAAAGTTAATGAAGTCATAATGAACAAGGAGAGGAGGCGGAGGGAGGAGGAGAGGATGGAGAACATGAAATTCATGGAGAACATGCTACGAATGGAGATGACCGAGAAGAATGAAGATGAACTGAAACGCCTCAAAAAGGCAAAAGATAGGATCTACGTAGAGAGTTGTAATCAACATTTGAGAGAACGTCAGAACATAGTCAAGAAAGAGAGGGAAGAGGAGAAGAGGAACAAATACTGGACGCTGGACTACCACCTAGAAAAAGATAAGCAAATTTATGAGCACAAAAAAAGGAAGATTGAGGACCTTAGGGCTTCTGGGCTGTTGGATGTTTATTACATGGCCTTGAAAAGAAAGGCAGGTGTCGAGGCCCACAAGAAGACTGATGACATCCTGAGGGACCCACCCATTTCTAAAACATGTAAAATTAAAATATCTGAGAACGCCTGGTCTTACATGTAGTGCGGTGTAATTCGGACTTGTGGACAGAGTCAGGCAACTGGCCTTGCCTGAGTTTCTTACCACCTCTTCAGGTTTAAGAGACTGGTGGGAAACTCCAGAGTTACAGTACCTGCAGTAGTGGGAGTAACTTCAAAGGCATTGCAGATACATTTATATCATATAATTTATAAAAATGTCCTTGTAAAATAACCACAAACACACATAATACTTAATGCTTGGTGAGACCAAGAACATGGACTTCAATGACAACAGAGAAGATGATGATGTGTAGTCAGTGCCTGTACACAACCCTGATACCAGGATGAGTCACTAAAATGCATTCACACCAGCATGGTTCTGTTCACATACCCAAATATATAATTGGAACCAGAGAGGTGGGGCCACAGAAGGAACCCGAAAAAGACTTGGGGTTTTCCTCCTGCGACGATGGGTGGTTGAATCAGCCGAAAATGTGCCCCCCAAAATTTAGAACATTATGAGCAGTGCGAGGAAAAGCAAGGTGAAGTGCATTGAGTGACGCTCATGGCTGGTGATCCTGGAAGGTGCAACCTTGGTTCTGATTTTAGTGATGCAATAAAAAACAGGGCCCTTTCATTGGGAGTGCAGTGGTTCTGAACAGAACTGAATCCAACGGGTGGGGGGGAGGGGGGGGGTGCTGATGATTGTCTGTGTGAAAGTCATATGTGAGGGCTGTTTTCATTGTGAGATTGCAACTTGTTTGAAATAAAATGAACTGTGAACTTATTCCGAGTAATGGCCTGTTCAGACACAAACTAATGAGAACAAAACACAAAGATCTACTATAATTATCGACACACCACAGAGGAATCCTTCCATCTTCTCCACCTGATGCTGCTCCGTCCACTGGATCAGACCTGGAACAACCTTCCTGATGAGGTTTAGGGCAACTGTACACAGAGAGTGTACCCCACGGAAAAGGTACAAGGCGACGTCCTTAAGTCACATGACCTATGCACATCAAGTAAAAACAAATGTCTGAAAAACAAGTTTCTCCAGGTTAAAAAAAAACATTAACCATTGCTTTATTCTCAGATATTTGAGAGTGAATTAAATAAGGCACATCCACATCATCCTGAAACATCCAAAACAGGCAAAGTCAGAGAAACGATTAAGGCTTTAAAAAAGCGACGCTGTTTGTGGGAGTGAAAGTGACAGCAGAGAGAGAAAGAGAGGGAGAATGAGGTGTTAAGGTCATTTACATCTAAAACATCCACCTCTCCTGACACTGTCTGCAGCCAAACATATACAGTGACATAATTGTAATATTGAGAATTTCAGCCATTTTCAACAATTACCCTAAGTGCTATTGCTCTAGGTCACAGAATCCCAAAAATATGAAAATAAAAAAATAATCAATTCGAAATAAATCAATAAGTGACAACATTGCGTCTTACATACAGTAAAAAAGTGACAACATTGCGTCTTACATACAGTAGTTCTGAATGTCCAGTCATGTCTGACATTTACTGAAGCAGCCCGGCAGTTTCAATGTGCTCAGGATATTATTGCATGTACCACGCAACATGAATAGGTTGTTAACAAAACACTAATGTGTGTTTGAATTCTACACTGTGAAAGACTGGTGTAAAAACAGCACAATCTCATCCCTCTGCTCTAGACACAAGTGGTGAATTAAATGGAACAACTTTTTAATTATTAACATTCATTCATTCTTAGAAGCGATATTTTCCACAGCACTGAAATATACTCCGACTTTTCCAGGCTTGTAAAGCTCATGGTTAGATTTTCAAATTCAAAGCATTGTTTTTTAATTACAAAAAGACGGAAAAATCATCTTGCAGTGACTTGTAATGAATTGCATTGAATGAATGAACTGAAATTTGTTTCCTCCATTGATAAAAATCATACATTAACATCTGCAACATACTGTAGATTTTTAAATGTAATACTCTAAAGTTAAGAATATGTTTTTAAATTACCACTGATTTTTAAGCTTTAAGTTCAAAACACCATTAAAGAAAATAGAAGAAAAATTGAAGAAAAACTTCAACTAAAAAGGATCTGTGACTTTTTCCAGTCTCAAACTGAGATATTTATAGCTATTGTGGTAAGCTGTATATCACGGCAGCTAATTTATGAATTCATTACAAGTGATAAGAAACGGGGATTGAGAAGTTTTTGCGTTTGTGACTTTTTTTCATGAACATGCAAAATTGTAGCAAGATTGTTGTGTAACCCACAAAAAGAACATTCAATGTTGGAAAATTCAATTTTCTTAAGACTAAACCCTCTATCTTTCAATAAATACGTTGAATCATAAATGTCTAAAACTACATCACAATATTTAGATTTAAAGGCTCGACTCTCAGTAGCTTCTCAAGGACAATTGTGTTGAAATTTCCCTGACCCTACATAAAATGATTTTTCTACAAATCTATTAAAGGCCGAGTAACATGACAATATAAAAATTTACATTGTTACAAAAGGACTGATGTGATGCCTTAACAGTCAGCAGCAGCAGCAGCAGCAGAAAAGAAATTATTTTGTTTATTTGCTGCAAGTCGTCTTAAAACAATGGGGGAAAATGACAGTAATTACAGTTTTTTATTATTTTTTTTTAACTTATTGTTCTTCCTGTTAAACTATGTCTACAAATCATTCCGCAGAAGCTAAACCTCTCTGAACACAAGACACATACCAATATCAAATGTGAAAATGTGAGTATGATTTAAGCACGAATCGGTGTTTGTGTTTGGGGGGAGATGTTTAAACATCTTAACGGTAGGATTGAACACTGACGATTCAAGTGACAGTGATATTAAATTAAATCATGAATCTAACACCAAGTTAGTTTCCATCCCTTTTATGTCTAGGCTCGGGAGAGGAGAGAGGAGACGAGGAGACGATGAAAAGGAGGAAGAGGAGATACTGGAGTGGAGAGGTCTCAGTAGAGAGAAAACCTTATGTATGATGACATCACAGCTACAAGATGTTAACTTTGTAACACATTTCCATATCAAATGAAATGTCACAACTGATCTGTGCACAGGACTAACGCAACCGTACTCAACATGTTGATGTTAAAAAAAAAAAAAAATTAAATTAAAAACAACTGTACTCAACATGTTGATGTTGAGAAAAATTAAATTAAAATGTACAACACTGCAAACATATTGCATCAGTGACTGATTTTTACTCATCAGTCACTGGGACTGATGAGTAAAAATGATAGTAATATTGTGTTGTGTATCAGATCCAATCAAAAGCAAGTGTGCATTTTTTTCCTTCCACTTATTACACTAACATTTGTGCAGTATAACTGATGACTGTTGAAAAGTCAGTGCCAGTTCACACAGGTCAGTGTCACTGACCTGTGGGCAGTGCTGTTGAAAACCTGTGTTGTTACACTGCAGTTTTATGGTTGTATAAATGAGCTTCTGTCTAGTAATTGTTAGTCCATGATTTGTATCTAAATAGTTCTTGATAGTTAATAACTGAACATTTGGCGCAAGTCTTCTACCACAACCCTGTACATGCTGCAGGTCACAGACACCAGGAGAGGGAGTCTGTGTTCGAGCTCCTGACATTCTGGTTGAAATACGAGCACAGCCACCAAACATTTATACTAAGTGTGGCACAAAACCAACGTGAAAACATGATTTTAAAACCCGGTTAAATCTGTGTAAATGTTTGTAGTTGTGACCAGCAGCTACTTGACTCCATCTGAACCAGACGTCTCTAAACAGTGGAGGTCAGCGGAAACCGTAAAATTGGAGTTTCCATCTTTACCTTCTGAGTCTGAGGGATCTGCATCCACATGAGGTGGAGTAGGAACGTCTGAAGGCTCCGATAATGTTCCGTTCACAGGTTGGATGTTCTGGTCATTGGATGTGTTTGAGGACGAGTGGTTCAGTTGGACGTGAGAGGAAGAAGCTTCCGCAAAATTATCAGAGTGTGACGATGCATTGAAAGGTGGAGAAGGTGACGTTTCGCTACCTGTGCTGCAGCTGGACACGTCAATGGAGTGTACATCCTGGACGACGGTGGACGCCTGGTCCCCTGCTGCTGACATAGGGTCATCATTCATTCTGGTGGTGGGTGAGTCGTCACTGGGCTCGCTCTCCTTCTCACTTAATTCATTGGGGTCAGAAGACGACGTAGGCTCCAGGCTGTTTGACGGATGTTCTGCAGAGTCCAGGGTGTGACAGCGCACCAGGGGGCGCTCTCCTCGTAGAGTTCCAACACCGATTGCTGCTGAAGGGCAACTGACCTCCAACGTCTCCCCTCGCCTGAGTCTTCTCCTTTCTGGACTGGCCTGTGAAGAGGTCAACTTCACCTTCACACATTCAGCTTTCTGGGATAGTCACATAATGTTAAACTATTGAATAAATACAGAATTAAAGAGTGGGGTTTGTGGGGCCACAGGATAAAAAGAGATCATCAATTAAAACCATTTGATTGGCCATCTGTCTGAATGCCACACTGGGGAGTCAAAGGCTGATGAGCAAAAATACCTTGTTCAGAGGAGGTGAAGACCTGGGAGGAGGACTGGAGGAACATTTTTTCATCTGCTGGATCCTGAAAATAATCAGCCGACTTTTTCATACAGATTATGGGGAGGCCAGTTTTTTTTTAGCAAATCTAAAATCTGCACAAACACAAGCAGTTTACCTGCTGATGGACTGAGCCAGTTTCTGTCTCCTGCTGTTAGCATTATCCTGTAGCCTCAGCCGCTGCACAAATGAATGAGCTGCAGCGAAAATACAACAGAAACAAACGCTGATTATTTAGTGATGAAACATTACATCAATATGACAGTTTAGTGCAAATACGTAGCTTTAAAATGTTTTTTTTCTTTAGGCATATTTGTTAATTATACCAAGAGCTCCTTTGGGAACAGACAGCAGTTTGATTGGTTCAGCATCAGGAGAGAGTCCAGATGCTTTCTGCAGAGCCCTTAGGATCTCAGTGTTCTGCAGAGAAAAGAGAGACTTGTTGGTACTGTGATTATCTACAGTAGATTACTGATGAAAGCTAATGTATTTTTTTTTAAACGTAAGTAGTCCTGCAGCCTCCCCTGACCTCCCTGACCCTCTACTATGTTTTTGGGGAGCACCTTGCCGCCCAGCTCGTAGGCACAGTCCAGTGGTGTTCGCTGCCTTTTGTTCCTGAGACCTGGTGACGCCCCGCTCTTCAGCAGCAGCTCTACCAGTGCTTGGTGTCCTCCACGCACCGCCTCATGGAGAGCTGTGTTTCCCTGCAGATTGGCCATGTTGACAAGCGCATTGCTCTGCAAGAACAAATTAACTGTTGATGAAGTGGAGCCAACGTTCACACATAATGACCAAACCATTTTGTGGAGCTGCATTTGGCAACCCACTGCCATTTACTAAAGTCAAGCAGATGCCAATTATGAACCTACTTGGTAATTATTAGTTAATTAAAGTGTACCTGTAGTAAGATGGTGACTGTTTCCAGGTTTCCACAGAGACAGGCAAGTATCAGAGGTGTGTTTCCATAGTGATCTTTCTTATTCAGTTTGGCATTGCACTCCAGCAGGAACCTCACCACCTAACAATAAACAATAAACTTCATTTGTGGGATATTTACAAAAGCGGGACTTTTTCATTTTACTTCCTTCCTTTCAGCAACCTCAGGGTTTATTAATCCTGTTTTTAAAGCTAATTTAACTCTTTGGGAATGACACAAAATGGCCACAAGGGGACGTCCAAAACTAACTTCAGCAAAAACATATTAAAACCAGAAGCTGCAGGAATGTACATTTCTTTAATCCCACCTGGATGTGACTGTTCTGACTGGCCAGGTGAAGCGGTGTGGCGCTCTGGTTGGTGCGTGCGTTGAGGTTGGCTCCATGGCGGATCAACTGGGTGGCCAGCACCACATGGCCGTGCAGGGCAGCAACGTGCAGCGGCATGAAGCCATCAATGTTACAACTGTTGACACCGAGAGTTCCAGCCGGCGGAACGGACAGCTGCAGGACAAGAAGTGGACGAAGACACGGTTGGTGTTGTGATTAGAAACCAATCATAGTTCAGTCACGTATAATGTAGAAGCTCAGAGACCTTCTGAGTTGGAGCGCAATTTGGACACTGACACAGCGGATGGCAAAGCGATGCCTCAGGGCGAAGTTCACCTTCGTCTTCCTCCTCCTCATCCATCCACTCCAGCAGGTAACGAACCTAGAACACACACACACACACAGGTATGAAAGTACAATCTGATCCATTTGCTTCTTAAACCTGATAGTTTTCTCACCATTTCTATGTCATTATCTGCCACGGCACGGAGCAGCTTCTCCACCTGCAGCACAGACACAACAACATTCTGATTTGGAGCAGAACTTAAAGTTGGTCTTAAACTGTGATAACAAAGATGGGAGTTTTTAAAGTGAATAGGTGAATCGCCTGCACCGTTGTTCTTTCACTACCTCTCTGTGTCGAACTCTTTCTCCTTCCACTTTGGTCTCTGAGCCCAGTGAGGAGGTGCTGGAGATCGAGGAGCGGCGGCTGCTACAGTCCGAGGCTAGAGGAGAACAACTAGGAGACTGAGAGCAAGAGGAAAAGAAGAAACAAATGTCAATGCGATAATAAAGCAATGAACAGCCCTCATAAATGTCAGTACAAAAAGGTAAAAGGGTCAAAGTTTACTCGTTGCAGATATAATTCAGACTCACGTCAGCATGGCTGCTGCTTCGTTGACGGCCGTTCTGAGTCGACTGCAACAAAGCGAGAATCTGCAGGAGAAAAACAGCACTTGAACGTTCAAACCAAAGATTAGGTTCTAAGATTCATTTTAAGGAGTCTGGGTCTGGAAAAAAAAACACCATCAGCTCCCACATCAGATCAGCTGCTCCTCCAGAAAACAAGAGCAGATGATCATAATGGCTGCCAAAAATGAATCGTAAACTCTGTAACCCTGCGACTGAATTAAAGTGTTTACAAAATACTTATGGCTCTGATAACAACACACAAAAGAAGTTCCGGATCAGTCCAGAGTCTACACAAAGAGCTACTGACTTGCTGCAAGTCAAGATTAAAGCAGGTAAAAAAATGTTGAGTGAAAAATAGCAGGACAATTACACACATCATACTGGCACCAGGCAAAAAACTGATGATGTAATAATGCAATAAATAATTTAACTAGATTTAAAAGAGACAGAATCCAATTTAATTCTGGAAAAATGTCAATGTTTTTTTTTCTTCAGTGTCCATGTTGCTGACCTTGGAGTTGAGCGCACACTGCAGCGGCGACTCTTTGCTCTTGTTGGGGATGTTGATGTTTGCTCCGTTCTCCAGCAGCACCTGGATGATTCCCTCATAGCCCCACCTGGCGGCCATGTGCAGGGCCGTGTCTCCTTTATCGTTCTGTATGTCCAGGCGGCAAATCTGGAGGTCGCAGTAGACCAGAGCCTTCACACACTGAAAGGACGCAAAACACAGTCAGACACTGGCAGAGAAATGAATGGAAAAGATGTGAAGATAAGAGACTGTTTGACAGTAACTCACATCTTCGTGTCCATACATACAGGCCAGGTGCAGTGGTGTATTGCCGTTGTTGTCCTGAGCGTCTGTGTTGGCTTTATAGTAGAGCAGCAGCAGCTACAAAACAGAGGAAATGTTTCATTGTCCCTCATGTAATTTGTAGTGGAGTCTTATCTTAAGTTTACCATGTTCAATTAATTAAAAAAAAAGAAAAAGAGTGTTTACCGTGACTCCCTGATATCCTTTTTGGCACGAGAGGTGCAGTGGTGTCAGGGCGTGATAATCTGTGGCATTGACTGCTGCTCCTTTACGCATCAGCAGATCAATCAACTGGGCCTGACCTGCCAAGTAAACACACAGCTTAATGAGAGCTCATCACCACAACACGCCTTTCAACCATCGGAATACTGTAATAGCAGCTGCTCACCACAGATGGCAGCAACGTGCAGAGGAGTGTAACCGCGATCATCCCTGGATAACGGTGTGACGATGGATGAGTCGTTTAGTCGCCTGTAAATTACAGCCCGTGACAAATAAGACAGGAAACCAACAGTTTCTTTCAAGATTGAGCAGTCAGAGAAAATCTGTATCCTAACAAAGTCATAAATCTTTACATAAATTTAAGTCACTTTAGCCGTTTTCTAGTAAGAGCCCTTAGTAAAAATCACATTAGGGAAACTCCTGTTAATTGTGATAATATTGTGAATGCTAACAGCAGTTAGCTGGAGAATGATGATATTACTGAGGCTTTGTATAAATTCATATTTAGGTTAAAATCCTGATGATTGCAAAGGACACGGATTCTGACCCGGACAACTGCAGATCACACAGGTCACATGAGCAGAGTGGGTGGCACATCCTGACGTCCTCATCTATCTCCCCTTCAGACAGTAGACGTTCTATCTGCGACTCATTTCCATTGGCTATGTGCTGCATCACACACAAGCACAAATACAAAGGAATATCATCTCATCACGATGTCATCACTTCTATGATTTCAGTGACGTCGGTCGTAGGGGGACTGAGATACATTATTCATTTCTGTGACAGTTCTGTGTTTTAGTGCGATACAGAACTGGAGTCTTTAAAATACTGTTTATGTACAGATAAAATTTTACACACCAAGATAATTCAGATTAGAGAAACACAATTCCAACCCTGTGTCATTCTCTCACTGGACACATGACTTGATTATCTCATTGAGGTTTAAGGCAGAGAGAGCAAAACAACACGTGCAAATATTAAACAACATTTCCATTTGTACAAAAACATCTAAATGACAGAACTGATGTGAAACTATTTTGTGAAACAACACAATGTAAACCACACACATGAGTTGTTAATAAATTTCCTGTGATTACTTGCCAATTAGCATTCGCAACATTAGCATATCTGAAAATGTCAGAAAAGCAGTGCTTGCTAAAGTGTTTGGGAGAACTTTGACAGAAACCTTACTATTTATATTTATATATATATATATTCGAACAGAACGTGGATGGGCGTGGCACCGCTCTGAGACAACGACCTCATCCTCTCCTTGAACAACACCTTGTCGTTCAGCTCGCCCGAGCCCTAAAGGAGCAGAAATAAGGCACCCATGAACAATGATATAATGAAGCTCTGATTTACAAACAGTGCATTTGAATGTATATGTACTGTGTTGTTTCTCTTACAGAGTGCGAGTCCTGCAGCTTCCCCAGCTTTATGTACTCGACCGCTGCTTCGAAGGTGCTCAAACAGTAGCTGAGCTCGTCTTTGGTGGAGTGGCTGAAGCAGAAGTTCTTGATGTAGCTCAGGTTGGCCATCCTGAAGGGAGACATCGACATCAACGTCAATGAAATATATGAGTCAGTCAAGTGAGATCCTATCATCCTATTTTAAACATTACTCCTTCTATTTCACATAGAATTACATATTTTTATATTTTATATATAATTTTCCTGGAACTTTCCAGTCTCTATTGTTCAAATTTCTGAACCATTATCTCACCAGTTGGGGATTTCCGTCTTCACCAGCAGGTAAAGGATGACAGAAAGTAGGTCGTCTGCACTAACGGCTTCAATATTGACTGTAACGAACCACACAGACAAAAATACAGTCAGTCAGGATAAAATATAACACAAAAAAAACCACAATAAGAACCAGTTGTTTAGGGCAGTGGTGGCCTGGTGTTTAAGGAAGTGGACTTGTGTCCGAAAGGTCGAAAGTTCAAATCCACCAGCCACCACTGAGATGCACTGAGTATGGTGCCCTCCCTACACACTGCTCCCCAGGCCGCCCCCTGCTCTCCAAGATGACGGGTTAAAGGCAGAGGTGTGCTGTGTCACTATGACAATAAATCACTTTCATTTCACTTGTTTTCATGTTCAGTTGTTTGTCCATTCAGCCTGCTGCATCACTCTGATAAGGCATCAAAGCTTTTACTTAATTCAGACCAAATTGGAGAAAATGGCCACTGGGACACGTTAATTAACAGCTGTTCATATTGGTCTGCACACTGACAGTGAGGTTGATGTGGTTTAATAACCACACCAGAGGCTGACAGAGGAGCTACTGCGCTTTGCGCTAATCTGATATAGTAAGTGAGGAAATACAGAGAGGCGACAAACCAACAAAGTAATGGAAAGAATTTTCCTTGTTCAATTAATCCAAAGTAAATGCCCGTGTCTCTGATAGGTCAATAAGAAGAGAAAACAATAACAGAAACGAAAAGCAAAGCAAAGATTTGGGAGAATCAATTCACAGGTAACAGAAGAAGCAGCTTTTTATTTCAGTTTGCACAGTGTGTGTGTGTGTGTGTGTGTCTGTGTCTTTTCAACACTCCTGGTTTTATATATTAAATAAGAGTTTTGATACAGTGTCAAGTATATGCTGGAGAAACAGGTAAAACATGAAAGTTGCTTTTGTAACAATTGTAGTTCCTTGGATAGGATTACAAAAAAATATATTAAAATAATTTATAAAATAAAAAATAGTTAAGTTAGGAAACAAAGATGGGAAAAACTGCTACCAATTATCTCTCAAAAACACCAAATTAAACAGCGTACCTGTGTGTCTGGGTGTCTGCGTGGCCATCAACGTGACTCTGCGCAGGCAGAGCAGTTTGAGGAGCGGCGACGTCTGCTGGTTGAGCTGACTCAGCTCTCTTTTAGCTCTGGACAAGTTTGTACTGACGGAAGAGTGGAGAAACATCAGAAACTGTCACATCAGAAAAAGTACTGTCACGTCAGAAAAAGGAAGCAATACTGAACTGACCTGAACTCAGGTTTGACTCCCAGGTCTTTTAGCTGCAGCTCCTGCAGACTTCTGGTGGTTTTATTAAAGGCAGCATCCTGTAAAGATGCAGACAACATCAACACTGTGCATTTAAATAAAAAACACTTTACTTCATATTTATACAGTCAACACAAAGGAGCAGTAGCTCTTCTCAAACACTAAATTATATATATTTTTAGGATCAATTATAATTAGTCTAATCCCCTTCTCGCAATACATACATTTCCTCATTAAACCAATATGTAAAAATCTGTTTTTATGGAATCTTTACAACTTTGTGATGACACTAACACAGGATGGGAGGAAAAAGAAACTAATTTGGAAAAAACCTCTGAATTCTTGAATAACATGATGTGTAACTGGAGTTGTTTCATGCATTCTTGGGGGATTTTATGCTTTAGAAATCGAATTACTCCCAGCACAAAGTTACTTTGAGTGACATCAGTGTTGGGGATGTGGTAAATGATAGATACCTGGCTGGCTTCAAGTGTTCCCACAAAATTGAAAATGAAATCATGGATTCCATGATGAACATACATCTAGAGAAAAAAATGGGAAAAAGAAATGTTTAGGTGCAACAACGCAGCAACAATAAAGTGCAACAGAGCACAGACCTCAGGTTAAGGAAGTGTAAATGTGTCTCATCTTTAACACTCTCAGGTCTGACCACACACACTCATGGAGCCACACTTCCTCAAAAGTCATCACTTTCATTCTCATGGTGCACAATTACAAACATGAACACTTTGTCACATGCTTCCTCTTTGAGAGTTACCTCAACAGCCTGTTTCAGTAAAGTCATCTGCATCTCCTGCTTTGTGAGAAGTTTCTGTCGAAAAAGGAAAAAAAAAAATTATAAACCATGGCACGTGATGCAACCTAGTCTATCACTATGGTTAGGCAGAAAGCTAAAGGAAAAAAAAATTAAGGTTGAGTAAAGTTATGTCACATGTAATTATGTTAGGATCCAGAGGGTCGACACGAGGCTAGCCGACGTTCAGTGGAATCACTGTTCATTTAGAAGAACTATTACGGGTTCAAGACCTGGAACATGGTGTCAGCGGACACACTTCCTTCTGAAACTACTGGACTATGAGTTCGAGAGGTTCAAGACCTGGAACATTCAGCGGACACACTTCCCTCTGAAACTACTGGACTATGAGTTCGAGGTCGCTGATCGAGGCCCTATACTACAGTGAATGCTGCCAGGTGTCATGTGTGGGTTTGAAGGGTTTGTACTTACCAGACGGGAGTCTCTGAGAAGACACTGAAGACATCTAGTGTAAAGAGCATTCACAGAGTCCTGGATGAAGACAGGATACTGGTCAGGTTATCGGTGAGGGCTTTATATATATATATATGAAGGATTTGTGCTGGAATTAAACTTAAACACAGACAAACAAAACACCCCATCCAACTATCCAGCACCCATATAAAAATATAAAATACATAAATATAAATAAAACTATAGGAATATAAATATATATATGTATATATTTATATTTAGATTGTTATGGTTATGGTATAGTGGTATTTCTGACAGCTTGGTCCCCCAGTTCAAAAATCCCATCTGTGCCCCTGAGGGATACGACATAGAAATAAAGAGAGACCATGTGATTTTCTTACTATGTGGTGTCTGAGTCCCTTCCTCTCCTGCTCCTTGAAGCTCTGACAGAAGCTCTGAATGAACTTGTCCAGTTTCAGAGCATGACGGCCCAGGAACTCTTTGACGTCCTCCACACTCTTCAGGCAGTAAGGCTGCGGCACGCTGAACTCGGCCGTGCAGGTGTCTATCTCTACAGGCCGGGAGATGCACAAAATGCTGTAGCTTTGCTCCTGGTCATTATAGAAGGTTTCTTCAAAGAGGATCTGCACCGATGATGGAGCTGGGAAGCCAGATCCAAGCAGGACCTGCCTGTCCTGGATCCTGACATCCTGAGATAGAAGAGAGAAATAAAAACAAATTCAGCAGAGTGTTGGATTCAGTACGGTGAAAAAACCTCCATCTGAGGCAAGTTTGAAATGTGAACAACCTAACCCTAACCCTGAAGCAGTTCTAATATATTTTACTGATGTGTCAAAACACATTTGTTTACAAATTGCTTTACGGCTGATCTGGTTGATTCAGCAGAGACAAACCTTTCCGTCCACAGTCTGGTATCCGTTCTCCACAGGCTGTAAGACATAGCTGTCGAACTGAGAGTCAGAGTAGCTGTCGACGGTCAGACTTCCACAAGAGGGAACAAGAACCTGCAGGGTGATGTGAAGAAAGAATGACTCTTACAAATATATTTGTCTCATTTAGTCCAAGATAAAGTTCAAATGAAATGTATATGTTTATTGAGAAACAGAGAGGAAGGGAGGTGAAAAGTATGAGTCCTGATGAGTCACAGCTCCTAATTTTACAGTCCGATATGTCACTTCAGCTCAACCACATGTTGAGCATTATTCAAGGGTCATCACACTGTTAAAATGTATTCATCAGGCACCTTAGTCATGTTAAATCACCCATATCTTGGGAAAATGAGAAGCCTTCTGAGCACAAGAAAAATACATGAGCAAGCAGTAAAGCAGAGTATTTTTGGAAGTTTGGTAAGAAAGTGGTAAAATATCCCAACTATAAAATAAACAACTGCTTATTGGTGTCTGACCGGACACAGAAATCCCCTGAATGGAAAAGGAGAAGCAGCAGGAAGTTCCTCATTTATGACAATTCTGATGGAAAAAAAAACACTTTATCCAAAAACGACACTGATTTCTTTGACCCTAAAGGCAGAAAGGTCAACATGATATACTCTCATGAGCAGCTTCTAAACTATTTTGATTACAGCTTTTTGTAATGCATCGACTTTCCAACTGTACTTCTCCAAACAATACTATGAGTACTATGAAGGCAGACAATAACACTTCATTTTAATCCCCATCTGGGTGATACATTTTTTTTTTTTTTTTTTACATAAAAGTCATATCCTATGCCGTCTTTTGCCATTTTATTTGCATTTTTAGCAAAAAAAACAACAACACATGGATACACATTCTAGATGCAATTATCGCTTTTTTGAATTGTTTTTGAAACGTCATATTTTTCATGTTATGCTATTTTCTTGTCAATTTGTGATACTGTGACATTGTTAACACATTATGCATGTTGGTGCACATTTTAGGGGCCTTTACAGCAGTTTGAAGCATTTTTAGTACATTGCCATTTTTGTCATGTTAGTGGCAAACTTAGTTGTTCAAATTTAATTTCATAACTTATTTCATAACAATTCTAACAATGCACATACTTTCTAGACAGCAAGTCAGTTACTCACGATGCCGTGGATTTCGGCCACTCGGCTGCACAGATCTGGTCTCTGCTTCTCCAATGCCAAGTAGAACGGATTCTTTAGGATGTTCTCATCATATACAGCCATAAGGAGCTGGGAGTCGAGATCCTTGAGACAGAAGAATTATTGTGATGATTACAGCATTTATCATGTGTGATGCAGAAAACAAAATTCAATAGACCAGAGTATCAGGGCTATAGCAAATAACATGTAAGCTTTAAAAAAAAAAGTTATAGTAAAGATATTATTAAAACATTACTTTTATCACATTAAAGAATGACAAACATTTCGAAGATATTATTAAAACATTACTTTCATCACATTAAAGAATGACAAACATTTCGTACATCATTCAAAATTTTAGATGCCAACTGCCCCGCCCGTCGTTAACTCTAAATAAATTAATGAGAAAATGATGACAGTTATTTGCTGATTTGCAGTCCAGAACAGTACGAGAGGAAATCCAGCATTAATAATTTGATTACAGCAAATAAAAAAAGAAAACAACGTCTCAACAGAGGTGATTTGTTTCCGTCTCTGGAGCTCTGATTTCTAGTTAGCATAATCTGAAGTTTTAAGGCTCACATTTCAGAGCTTGCCGCAAATAGTGTTTTTTTTTTTACTTTTACTGGAATACCTAAAGATGAATGTACAGTACGAGGCTGGAGCCGCATGTTGATATAAAACTGTCCCCATCTGCCACTAAACTGCCAAGAATAGACTCATTTCACCAAGCCCAAAAATCACAAGGCTTCTTTTTTTTAAAGAATGGCTCCTGGACTAAAACCATTAAAATAAAAAACAGTTTAAAGGAAATGACCTTTTCTTTTTTTAAGGGGGGATTAGTGGGTAGTCTTATTGTTTTAAAACTAATTCCTCTGATTGTTAAATGCAGACAAAGGCTTGTTTACTGTGTGAAAATGAACAAAATGAATCCAATATTTTGTGGAACAGTTGAGAGTAAAAAAAATTAATGAAATGATAAGATTTGGGGCATAGAAAACTCATAGAAATGTATTTAAAATTAATCTATAAAACCATCAACAGGAAAACAACCGTCTACCTGTAAATTAACAATCTCATATTGATTGTGAATACTGCCTCCGATCTGGGATCTTTACACCATACTTGTAGCCAGAAAAAAACTAGCTGCTAAATTTATACATGGAAAAACAAGTTCTCTGTTCACACATTTAACTCAAAAACAATTTTTTTTTTTTAAATACTGTGACCCATTCCACACCACAGGTTTACAGCTCACCTCATTCCTCTGCTCAGCAACCAGACTCATTCTCCCGCAGCATTAAAAGAACTAAGACTGGAGGTTGAGTGGAAGAGGCAGAGAAGCCAGCAGTTCTCTGCTGCAGCCTCATGACACGCTGCTCAGCTGGGATGAAACTGCATGGAATGAATCACGTGACTTTTAAAGTCCTTGTGACCTGCCAACTTATTCAGGGGTGTAAAAGAATGTCCATGCCTTGGAGGCTAACACACAAGGTTCATTACAATACAACGTTAAGAGTCGATGGGCTAATGTCTCAGTGGGAGCTGATTTGAGTGTGAGAGTCAGAAGAATCCAGCAGCAAAAACAAACAAATATCACTGTGCAGATAAATGTACATTAATAATTATTCCACATCAAACCCTGAAAAAGCTAGCACTGAACGACAACACTCAACATTATCTTGCTGTAGCATCTGTAATATGTCTGCTTTAATTATTGCATTTAAGATCTTACACCTGTTGCAAAATGTGACTACAATGCTAGGAAAAGGCCATCTTTAACGATTTATCAGCCATGTAGACCTACAGTGAATTATTAAAGCGGTGGCTGCTGTACAGACAAAAGAATGACAACAACCGGTGCACAGATGCTGACAGTCAGTTTATCTCAGAGATGCTAAAGGAGCTGCTAAAATAACAAAAAAATGACCATAAGCTTTTTTAGAATGTATTATTACAAAATACATTTAATGCAGAAATAACCTTTATGTTAAACTATAGCGTAGCAGGCAGACTGAGGGGAGCAAATGGACAAGGGGATATAAGATGACACCGCTTCTGGTTTTATTGGATCAATACAACCTCTCAAAAGCTAAAAGCTAAAACCAACGCTACAAGCTAGGCTTTTAAAGTGACCATCACATCAGACTGACCATATCTCTACTTACTAAATACCTACTAATAATAATAATAATAATAAAAAAGAATCCTGCCACTGACATAAAAACTGACAACATGAAGTTCACAGGTTCAAGACCTAGCTCTCAATGTTCTTTTGGTGTGTCCTCGTTTAATCGAAGAATCTAAATTAATTTAAAGTTGGGTTGGTTGTTTGTCTTAATATATTCACGAGTAAACAATGAAATGAACTGTCGACTGACGAGATACATTTTATTGCATGGCGTAACTGGGTTCTTCAATCGCGTCACTCTCAACTCAAGCGTTATGTTATTCTTTGTTAATGATGACATGTTTTAGAAACGTTTGAACAAGAGATTTCAGGTAAAAGGCAATTTCGTGCTTTGCATCACAGGTGACAACTGTGTACTTAAGGCTAAATTGAATGCTAACTTACGTTAGCCACTGAGAGACCGGTCAGAATTCTGATATGAGACTCAATATCAGACTTAATGACTCCCGAACATTTTGTAATAAAAATCGCCTGCTAGCCACAAACAGCAGCATCATACCACCCCCACAAACATATGTAGCAGCTAGCTTTAGCATAAATGGCAACCAAATCTCGTAAATTATATATCATATAACGTTTACGTATTAGCATGTTAAACTATAAACAAGGAAAATGGCCCGAAACAACACCTATTAAAAATGGACGTTTTACCTTTAAACAGCTGGACCCTCAGCTCTGTCAGGCTTTGGCATGACAATAACGTCCACAGCAGTCTGTCAACAGCTGTTTACCCCGGTCATCTGGCTAAAGAACTGCAGTCACAACCTTAGCCTCTGACCACAGCCGGGTTGCCAGATTGAAGAAACAAGTAAAATAGCTGTCAAGGATGCTAGTATGCTCCGAATAATTTTTATCGGCCGCTGTTCTACAAAGGTGTTTCACAATTCTGTAGTAGTCCAGGTAGTAAAAGGAGAACTTTAATCAGCGTTGCAGCCGTAGATACACAAGACCACAATAGTTTACACTGTAAAGCTGTGTAGGAGACTATGGCTCAAAAAATGAGCGACAAGATAATGCCCTCTATCGGCTAGGTTCTGTAGTGTTCCACCCTTGTGTCTCGCTTGTCGACCAACTTTTCCAATTAAGTAACAAGGAGTTCTCAGCAGGTAAGATTGACAGAGATTCAACAAAAATAATCATCTTTATCAAAACTGTAAAGACATTTTATCACCAGTTAGCTTAACCTCTGACAGCAATCGACTGCAACGTTTACTTTAATTAAGAATTCGTGCACACGTGTGCAGTAAAAATGTCGACGTCCGTTATAATCCAAATCTCTTTTTTTGGTTAGGGAGTTTGACATTTATTCTGTAACCCGAATTCTGTGCTCTTTGAGTGTCAGGTGTGTTGTTTTAGGAGGTGGAAGTCGGTTGGATTACGCTGCACATCTTTTTTTTTCGACTTTGTCCCTTTTTTTCAGGGGTTGCCACAGCGAATCATTGATTTCCATATTATTACGCTGCACATACAATCCATCCATCCATCCATCCATTCATCCAGCCATCCATCCATTTTCATCCGCTTATCCGTACAATGTCGAAAATATCGATTTTAAAGGTAAGTGTGTTTTTTGTTAATTTTCGCCATTAACATCATAAAAAGATCTAGGTTACGTTTAATTCTTTTGGTAGTCAACAATCAACGTTGATCAACAACACGAAGTGCTTCATAGTGACTCACAAATGTAAACGATTCGAATATTTCAAAACAACATACTATTATTAGAAGTAAGAAGCAGAACAAAGATGCAGAGAATGTGCGAATGGACTGTACTAATCGTTTTGTACTAACCTCCATGGACAATGTCTGTTGAGTTGAAATGATTTTTCTTGTTACCTATTGGAAATATCCCACAGGTTGAGAACCCATCTTGCCTTTGGGGTCGAGTTTGTCATCCCCCCAAGGGCAGCAAAGACAAAACAGATCATTACAACTTTCTTGCTCAGATGAACCTCTTCTACCACAACACTACTCTGGATCAGCATCTGCTGAAGCCCAAGTTAGTGGAGGGAGAGGTAAAGTCGTTCAGCAGTCTGCTTTCACCCATGTCTTCTCATTTTTTCGGTTCAAAGAAGGTGCATAAGGTGGAGCTGGTTTGAGTGTTAATAAAATATTCCTTCAGGTTTTTGTCGTCTACTGGTCAATGATAAAGTCATGGTGTCGGGCAGTGGTGGAGTCGGTCATCACCGACTCGGTGTCCTGCAGAGCTCGCTGCCTCCTGGTTGACTACGGAGAACGACTTATCGTCGACAAAGGACTGTAAGACTCTGACTATGTATTCTTCATAACACATTAAATTTAAACTTTTGTATTTTTCTGGTTGTCTGATTACCTGTTTTTAATCACAATTTTATTATAACTTGGCCTTTCACATATTTCAACAATAGTATTCGAGTGGCTGTGAAAAAGTTTCTTGAACTTCCTTTCTGGGTGAGGAGATTTCAACTGGCAGGAATTAAGCCAACTACCCTACGTGTGTCGGTGGAAAAGGCTGAGCTGATGTAAGAAAAATGTGTTATTATAACTAGGTACGTTATAGACTCGTGATCTAGTTTCAAAGTCTGTGTTGAGCTGGACACAGGACAAGATCAGATGATAGAATAACAGTGGATTACACACTGATGATAAAGTACAGAGTGCATGTGTATTAAACATATGATAGAATAAAATCCTCTGTATGAATCAAATGAAAATCTCAATCTACCCTAATCTTTCAAAGCTTTCATCTTCTCCCCTGCAGGCCGTCCAGTCAGTGGGACAGCTCAGCTACACTGTACCTACACAACCTGCTACAAGGTGAGAGACAGTCAATATTTGACAGACCCGTGTTGTTGTGAGACTTTAAAGATTTGCTTCTTTTTATGACTTAGCATCAACCTTGACAGAGGCTGTGCTTTTTGAAACAAAGTCAGACTCTACCTCCATTGAGCTCTACCTGACTGTCAATAACATCAAGGTGAACTTCATTCTATTTTTTATAGAATGTTAGATGTTCTTATGTAGGACTTCGTAGAAATGAGCAGAACACAGTGGATTTAGGTCGCTGTAAAAGTTGTTCATAACCTGTTGATTTTTTTATATAGATCTGTGTGAATGACGACCTTGTGGCCAAAAAGTTTGCATATTACAACCAAGGGTCAGGTGAGTGCAGCAGATCGAAGGAGTTGGATCGAATAGCCGTCACGTTCTTCTCCAGCGTCTTAACACAGACAGTCCCGGACTCAAACCAGACGGCAGTGGAAACTCCACCATCTCCTGGTAAAAACACAGTTGTCTTCATTCTATTGGTGGAGAAATTCTACTTAAAAACACACTTGTCTCCATTCTAATGGTGGAGAAATTCTACTTAACAATATGATATCAGATCTTATTTGTTTATAAATGGATATACATCAGTTTGCTTTAATCTGTACGTAACTTGATTTTTTTTTTGTCCTCAGTGATATCCAGCAGTCCAGTTTCTGGCTTGAATGTTGATTGGCTGACAGCTTCCTCTTCACCTCAGGTCAGCAGCTCGTTGCTGCTTGTGTCCTTTTAGCATCAGTGCTGCTACAGATGTCAGCTATCCTTGACTTTTGTTTTTTCTCCTACTTCAGGGACAGGATGATGTGACGATCACGGAGGCAGATGACAGACCAACCGTCTCTCCACAACTTTTTTCTGTTGGCCAATCAGGAAGCAGCTCTCAACATGCCACTGCCAACGTGTAAGCAGTTTTTTTCAGGTGAATTCACTGGTCAGCAGAGATAAAGAAAATCATGATTATTCTTTTCCCTTTTGGTGTTACAGGTGTTACACGTCACATTCTACAGATTCTACTTCAACCAAGGACTCCAATCTTTTGAAGTGAGAACTGATCTGACCTATTTGTCACACATCTCTCATGTGATTGGTCACCACAGTAAAACACTGCGTGCACTTCTGTCGTCCTCTGCCACAGATTTATGACATTTCTGAATCCTGGCTGTAGCTTCCAGCAGACGAACCAGAGTGTAAGTTTACCTCAATATATTGATTATAAAAATAGTCGTGAGTGTGAAAAGCGTGTGGCAACAGGGAAGGTGAGAGATAATGAATAGATTAAGTTGTAAATGAATATTTCTTTCCTTTCATTCCAGATCGATGAGCATGAAGAGCCTAACAACAAAAAATCTTATGTTCCAACTTCAATGTCCTGCTCAGAACAGGAGGCGTAAGACGTTTACCATCAATACATTCTTTTTATAAATCATTAAAAAAAAATAGGATGACAATTCTCACTCTGTTGCTGCCACTTATCTTATCTTTTTTAACCAGGACGGATGTTGTTACACCTCCTCTTTATACAATATTCAATGACTTTATTGTTTATTTTAACAGTGTATCCTCCTTACACAATGGTGAGTCTACTACAGGGTCACGCCCTCTGACTGATAACACAGGGTCGCGCCCTGTGACTGATCTCTGCTCAAGGTGAAGAGACTTTTGCATTGTTTTATTTCTATAGCCATTATAGTGACACTTCACAATTGAAGTTATTTTTAATATTTTTTGCAGTGAAAAAATAGAAGCAACTGGTCTTGAAGTCAATCATGTTGAAAATGACACCAGTGGAGACACACGGTACAGTTAACTCACGCTGCACCAGTTTAGCTTTTAGTTTTCTTTGTGGTTTTTATTCATATTCATATTTGTGATTTGAGAGATTTTTTGGTTTGTTTCTGAACTGAGGTTCTGTTTTCTGCCCTGTTGGCTCACAGCAGGTCAGATTTGTCTGAGTCTGGATCAACAGAAGCAACAAAGATGTGCAGAGCGGAGGTGCACTGGGCCTGTTCAAGGTCAGCCATGTTAGTGTACTTAACATAGATGTATAACTGCTGTTGTGATTCACAGAGACAGCGCTGGTACAGTTTTTATCTGACGAACGGCAGGTAAAGTGTGACAGACTGTTACGACACAAATTGATATTAAATCACTAATCACATGACGTCTTATGTGTTAAATAAGCTAAGAACCTGTGTCCCATATGAACAAATGAATTACATACCAAATATGATTTAACACTGCCGTATTTTCCAGACTATAAGTTGCTCCGAAGTATAAGTCACAAAAGTGCCCTCTAGCGGCTGTCAGTGTGAAAATAACGAACATGTAAAATTTCAGTGGTACAGGAGTAGCAGATACAGGTACACAAGCCTAGAGTGCCCTCTGGCGGCTATCAGTGTGAAAATAACAAACGTAAAATTATATATTTCAAATACAGACCATAAAATATATATATTTAAATAAGTCGCAAACCCAGCCAAAGGATGAAAAAAAGTGCGAATTATAGTCTGGGATTTATGGTACTTTAATGGCTGTCTTACCACAGGCTTCTGGAATGGATGAATCCCACACCTCTGAACTCTGCTCCAGAGTCTGGAGATGAAGCTGTAGGTTTTTTCATTTTCATTTATTTTCAAATGCTTGTCTAAAGTCATAGTTGTGTGATTGGTAGTGTTAAAGTTGTCCCTTTTCCTGACTCTCCGTAGGTCATTCCCAGTGATCCAATGGGCTGTGGAGTTTTGGTACATTCTGTCATACCAATTCAGCCCTGCACCAGTCTGGATGATGCACCTGTGACTGATGCATTCCGCTGCGTAAATAAGAATGTTCTGAGTTTTCAGTTGAGCTGTTTAATATATAAGAAATATATAAACCATCCAGAGGGATCATTCCCTGAGAGCACCATCATGTGGCAGTTTTAAGAAAGAAATGAAGGATTATTAATTACAGATGTATGATTTCCTGTCCTTTGCTGAGTCATAACAGACCCTGTAAATTAAAACCAAACCATTGGCCCTCGTATCTGCAGCTACTCCGTAGGAGGCAGTACTGCACTCTGTCCCTGGCAGATCGTTACGGCTGGCCGGCGGTGTCCAGAGGACGCAACACCATCATAATCTCCCACAGTGCTACCGAGCCACTCAGCTACCTCCCACCACTCCTCAGCCATGTCCTGCTTAACACCATCTTCTGTTCCTTCACGTCCAGCGCTGGGGTGAGCACTGGTGAAACCTGACGGTCATTTTAGTCGTCTGGGGTGTTTCAGTGTGCATCTTTTTTCAGCCCATAGTTGTACTCCTGTGTCCAAACTGGGAGAAGGTCCAGACAGTGTATGACCTGCTGGTCAGTACCAGGATAGCCCATGCCCTTCGTCCATTCATTTTGCTGCTTGGCATTGGGAAAGATGAGGTTAAGACTGTCAGGATCCCAAAGAACTGTGAGCAAAACTTTTTTTCAGTCCTAAAGTCCTAATTATAGAAAGAAAATCCCATTTAAAATGGTTTGCTTAGTTCCCGTTAGGGGATTATTTTAACTCTGACCACAGATTTCCTTTTGTGATCAGGTCTACTGCTGGTGACCACGCCATTCAGTCTGGTTCGTCTAATGTCCGTTCACTGTTTCATGTTTCTGCGTCTGTGCCACCTGCTGCTGGATGAGGCCGACTCTCTCTTCGTTAATGCACCCAACCAGGTTAACTTTATTCACTGTTACTTTTTCATTTGTTACTATGATTAGAAAAGGTGCCAAAAAGGACAGAGCAAAACATTCGATTTATTTTTAATCATGTTTAGTTCAAGTTAACGCCGATACACTGGCAGGAATTTAAGAAAGACTTCACAAAGATCTTCTTCAACAGCTCCGATTATCTATTTTTATTTAGTTTTCATAGCCATCTGCTGTCACCTGGCAGAAGAGTATTTAATTGTTCTGCAATAAATAAATAAATAATAGTTTTCAGGCCAATTAAGTGAAATTGGATCATTTTTAATCATGCTCTCCTGTTAGATGGCAACCATCTTACAACATTACCAAAAGGTGACCTCCAGTGAGGGCAAGGCCTCCTGCCCTCAGCAGCTTGTTGCTGTGGCAAAGCAGTGGTCCACCCACATGGTGGACTTGGTAACTACCTACATGCCCTACCCCTGTGTTGTCATTTCCAATCCGGAGGACGCGGCTCTCTACGGCAACGTCCAACAGGTTTGTCTTAATGACTTACAGTATGTTCGATGGGTTCTGCATGACAAACTCTTTTGTTTTCACTGATATGAATTGACTGAAACAAAAGTGTCTGTCCTCCTCCTGCAGCTTATCCTCATGTCCTCAGAAAGCAGTAAGATCTTGGAGCTGTTGGGAACACTTGATTCCAGTCCAGATGTTGGCCAGAAGACACTCATCATAACCAACTCTGCTCAGGAAGTTGAAAATGTGTTTGTGGTAAAACAACTATTAATAATTAAAAATTACTACACATTCAACTTTAAAATGTCAGTTCATTGTTAAAACCGTAATTCTAAGTAAGTTCTCTGTAGATAATGTTTGTTTTCTGATCATCAGGCTGTAAAAAACAAATCATTGTTTTGCCTCAAGGCTCATGAGGGCCTTACAGACCAGTTTGACTTGGTCATCAAGGAGTGGAAAAAGAACATTGGCCATGGCAGCCATGTGATTATGGGTAAGCTTACAATACTATAAACCTTGGACCTTTAAACAAAAAGAAAGTATCAACAAACGTTCCCTTGTAGTGACCACCAACGAGTGTCTGAAGTGTTTTGGGATCAGAGATGCCACCTGTGTGATCCACTACGGTTTCCCCACTTCTCCTAAGCTGTTCGGCAGCCGTCTCTTCTGCATGTCGGACAACTTCAGAAATCTCTCAGAAAGGGTGAGAAGAAAGTCAGAACTTTCATTTATACGTTGTCTAAATAAATCCTCTACGGTGAATGTAGTATTTTACGGTAAGAGCGTCATGTTTTCTTGAATATTTTTCAAGGTTTTAACCACCGATCAAACAAGGGGCCGTCCTGAAGTTACCAAGTCAGTGCTGCTCATTTCAGAGAAAAATGCGTCTCATGTCGTCGGAGTTCTGCGGTACCTGCAGCGGACTGATGCTCTGCTGCCCGCACAGTTGCTGTCCTTTGCACAGTCTGTCATAACTGCCAGGGAGAACCTAAAGACCAACAGGCCTCTCTGCAGCTACCTGAAAAGCTTTGGAGTCTGCAGGTGTTTTTGTTCAATTCTATATACAGTGGAACCTCGGTTTTTGAACTTAGGTCGTTCATGAAAGGCCGTTTGTAAACTGAAAATTGATCCAATTCAGTGTCAACTTTTTCCACTTCTTCTACTGTCTGAGGTCTTTTCTTGGTGATCACAGTCACTCCTTTGACCTTAGCTTCTTTTATTCCTTCCTTGTTCTTAATGATGCTACAAATCCACCACTTTGTTACCGTAAACCAAACTGTAAAGACAGATCTGAAATGTAATAGTGAGAATGGTCGTTAAAAAACAACTTAGTAATTTCAAACTGTCAATTCAGGGATTTTGTAAATGCACAATGTTTTGTGTTTTTTCTGCAGAGACAGCAGTTCATGTCCAGATCGCCACAAGTTCAGTTCTGAGCTTGATCAGTCTGAGCTTCCTGCCTCTGGAGTCATAGAGGTTTGGGTTCCATTGTTGTATTAGAATCATGTTCGTTTGTAACGCCTCACAGTGTAAAGTCTCAGCTTTAGTGTAGCTTATTGTACAAACTCAGTAACTGAAGCAGTTTCATCCGCTGCCATCCATTGTCCCAGGTTGTGCCCGTCCACGTCAAGACGGCGTCTGTCTTCTACGGTCGGGTCATCTCAAAAAGCGATAACGGTTTTGAGAGTTTGGCTTCAGAGATGGCTTCGTACTATGTTGACAATAAACCAGGAGCTGAAGAGGTGTTAGTCGGTGGTCTGTACGCTGTAGAAGAAGACAAGGCCTTCCACAGGTACAGTGCAATATTTAGATATACAGGAATGGAATCGTTGGCTAAAGATCCACTTAAAGAATTGAAAACTTTTTTTTTCACCTGAAGGGTGAAGATCCTGTCTGTTCTAGACAGAAGTGTCTGCGGTTTTTTCAGAGCATTTGTTCGCTTCATCGATGTGGGAAAAGAGGAGGAGGTGAAATGTTATCAAATTCTTCAGCTGCCGGAGAAGTTTCACTCCCTGCCTGCCCAGGCTGTGGAGATCATCGTCTGCTCGGTCAAACCGGGGGACGCTGAGATCAACTGGCACCCCAAGGTCATCTCAAAACCAGTCTATCTAAGTCTGCTTGAAAATAAGTCATTATTTGTGATGGTTTTCACAGGGGTCTGCAACAAACACCTGATCAGTTCCAACATGATGACATTCAGTGCCCCATTCACTCATCAGCTTGTACACCTGACTCTATTAGTAGAGTGGCTGGTGGCATTATGGTGTTTTGCTGTTAGCAAGCAAGTTAAAAATGTAATCTAACATAGTATATTCAATCAACTAGATCAAAACTCAAGCTCCCTCCTGTGTGCCATTGACTTATATAAATGGTTGATCCACTGCATAGGACAAAAGAGTGATTTTGAAGGGAGCCAATGAAAAGAGGCTCAGGAGCCACATGTTGCAGACCCCTGTTTTAGTTGAACTGGAAACTAACGGGTTAGTCATTATTACTCAAGGACTCAATTTCTATGCTAATGCAAAGAGAGCTATGTTTTATGTATTGATAATCACTGTGTGATTCTCATGCACAGTGATGTGATAACTTTGACTTGTCTTCAGGCTACCAGAGCCATCAGTCAGAGGGTCAAAGGTCTGCAGCACAGGGCCAGAGCAGTGTTCAGTTTGGGAAACACGGTCTTTGTTGATTCCATGGTTTGTTTTGTTACTCACACATTCACCAACCAGTATGCAGGATTTTAGTCAAATCAAAATTCATTGACACAAAATTTTACGTAATGGCAAACTGTTTCCTGTTCCTGTAGGTCCGAGTGACACAGGTGCCCGGTATGAGAACGGTTATTAATGAATATGCTGTCCAGTCTGAAATCCTGAAAACTGGATTGGGGGTCAGTAACCCAGAGCATCTGGACCTGCTGAGGGAGCTGTGCCAGGAGGCTGACACCAACAGTGGCCCAGAGTCCAGTCAGATGAATGGGTAATGAAAAGCTACAATGACATGAAAAGGATGTGAAGATAAGGAGCGGTAATGGTGACTGTGGCTGATTTGTAGGTTAAATGTCGACTCATTGACTCTGGAGAATGATGTCAGAGCTGAGGGAGACCTTCAGTGTAATGACACCAGAATCAACACAATGAACAAACCCACCATCCAGGAACCAGCTCTTCAGCACCACCTGGACCACGTGTGTGATCAAACAGCCCTGTCAGAAAGTCAGGCTGCAGATGAACATGTGAACAATCAGACCATGAAGCTGGATTTAGACAAACGTGTAAGGTAGGTGTCTAGGACAAACAACTGGGCTGAGGTTTTTGAACGTGTAAGGTAGGTGTCTCCTCAGGTTTGTTATTTAGGTACAAGTAGGACAAACAACTGGGCTGAGGTTTTTAAGGCCTTTTAACGTAAAGTACCACATATTATAGAAAAGGTAACTACCATAAAAATACTCAATTTTAATACTCACCAAATACAGTATATTGTTTATACATTTATGTCCTCGTCAATACAATGTTTAAGATTTGAACACAACACTGGACCTGTTTCTGGATGAACTATGTTACACAGAACCATATTGATTTTCCTCACATGTCGTGTAGTGATGAAGAAGATGAACTTAGCCCTCCCACTGACTTGGCTGCATGTTCCAACACCTGCACTGATGGTAATAAAAGTGAAGTATAGTACGTTATAACTAATAAATATTTTCCCTTTAAATATCGACTATAGCGTGTTTGTGTGACATCAGGTTTTCCTCCAGATAAAAACCCAAGCAGCGTCCAGCAGAATACGGTCAGCACTCCTGAAACAGAGAGTGATGCCTCTGTGAAAAGGTGCCAGACTCTCTTTTTAATTTTAAAAAACTACATCATTTTTTAAATTAGTGTCAGTTTGTCAACACATGGATGTTGTACGTTTGTTTGTTTTTCTGTTTGTGCGCTTGACATTAATTTATGTTTCAACTTTGCCTGTTTTAGTTTTCATCCTCTCATGACTTGGTACCAGACTCCTGACAGTGTGATTGTCACGGTGAAGCTGATCAACCCAGAGAGCCAGTGCTGTGATTTCTACTCTGACAGGGTCACCTACAGGTGAGTCAGGGGAGACCACACCTAATGACTTTCAAATCACATTGGATTGGTGGAGATTTTTATCCAGATTATTCTACACTGTTAGGAGTGGCTACAGGTATCGATTTACTGGCCTTTCTGTGTCATTGTAGAAAGAGGATAATGAAAAGTATTTTTTATCACTCCTTATCCTCGTCTCTCGATCGTGTTCAGTGCTGGTGTGAAAGGTCGGACCTACAGAGCTGTGCTGGAGCTCTACAGCAACATTGATGCCGACCGCTGCCACTGGGAAATGAAGTCTAATGAGCCGGTCATAAAGCTAGTCAAACAGCAGCAGGGACACTGGGAGAAATTCCTCAGAAACAAGGTACTTTTTATTATTTTATGTGAGGAACTTACAGCTGTGGTATAAGTATTGAGGACGCGTGAGGAACTTACAGGAGCTGTAGTACAGCTGTGGTATAAGTATTGAGGACGGAGTAATATTTATTTGTTTATCTGTATAAACCAGTGTATCAGTTGCTGGCACCAGCATTCTGCATACAATCCCCCAATTATTACAATAAATTAATAAAATGAGCTGCAATGCTGCCATCTAGTGACCTTCACTTTCATGTACCGCCGTTTTTCCCCAAAACTTTTCTTAGGGCACACGTCATTTGGCGAAACCCAGACGTTTCATTATGAGGTTTTCATTAATGGAGCAAAAAACGATAACGATTCTTAGAGATTATTAAATACAATTATGCTAATATTGGCCGATATTATCGGACATCCCTAGTATAAAGGAAAATGTCACATTTGTTTTCATTTCTGTGCAATAAATGTAATTTATTTTCCAGAGTCAATAAGTAATCAGCAATCGATAAGTTAAACATTTACTTCTGTGAATTTCTCTGTATAGAACATCTTTGTGAGCTATGACATGAACCATGTTGAAGAAGATGAAGACAGAGGTTCTGTTGAGAACAACGGTAATACATTTCTTTTGAAAATACATGTTCTTACTGATTTTTTTTTAATGGCTGTCACTGCTATACAAAGCTAATGTGTGCTGCTGGTCTCCAGGCACGTTGTTTTTTGGGAGCACAGGGGAAGATAACTGCTATGTGAACTCAGAGGACGGAGAAAGTGACAGTGACTGATGATCAAAGAACATCTCTGTGGATGAGCAGTTGGCACCACTGTGAGTGGACTCAAAAAAAAAAAAAATCACTAGATTATGAGATGTGTTGGAGGCTTTTGTAACACCAGGTTCAAACTTTTCTCTTCATCTAATGTAATAACTAATAACTTTATCTCCAAACTGCTTATCTTCATCGGTTCCTCTGATCTGCTCATTTCTAATTCTTACTGTGTTGGTCATTCTGTCCGTTCTAGATTCAGTGTTCGATCTTGAAATTTTGACCAATATGGATTGATTAATCCAAATAATTTGAATAGAAAAAGTTTAGTTTGCTGATACCATTGTTCCAATGCAGTTATGTAGTAGAAGTTTCATTTTTATTTAGTTCATCCCTAACCTTCTTGATATGTTGTCTAATGTGGGGACAGTGTGAGATTGAAGACTTTTTGTTTAATACAGAACAATTTGTTTCCTTTTGTATTAAAATGTCCCTCTGTTAACAAGAACGGGGGCAGTGGTGGCTTAGTGGTTAAGGAAGCAGACTTGGGTCCGGATGGTTTCAGGCTCGAGTCCACCAGCTGGGTGCTCTGAGCATGACACCGTCCCCACACACTGCTCACAGGGCGCTTAAAGCTGCCCACTGTTCACTTTGGTGATGGGTTAAAAGCAGAGGTCACATTTGGTGGTGTGCTGTGTCACAATGACAAGTAGTTCACTTTCCTTCCTTTAAAGAAGAAAATAAAACTGGCCCGCGCTTGGGATATACACACTTAGAACTGTTGTCTGGTTTTTCTGGTATTTGTTGCGCTGTGCTATTTCTTCTATTATTTTTTTTTCATAAATCACCGTGGGAAAATAAAACAGTGAGAACAACAATAGAAGTGAAGAAAGATTGTACGAAACCATGAAAATGGAGCTGGTGTTTCAGATCTGTCTTTACAGTTTGGTTTAACAAAGTGGTGGATTTGTAGCATCATTATGAAGAAGGCAATAAAAGATGCTAAGGTCAAAGGAGTGACTGTGATCACCAAGAAAAGATCTCAGACAGTAGAAGAAGTGGAAAAGTTGACACCGATTTGGATCAACGAAAAGCAGTTGGTCGGCTACAGTATTTGTGAGAAAGCGGAGCGAACATTCCAGAATCACGACTGCTCAACACCGGTGAGGATGAATTAAATTGTCTTTCCTATTTATAGCTTTATTCTTTAATTTATTGTGTTTAAGGAGCTTTTCAAAATCAAACATCTTTTAGATAATATTCTGTTAGTATCGGAGTCTGAAAATGTATTAAGAAATTAATCTTTTACTGTGGCTTGGTGCCAAATAATACACGAATCCGTCTACCGAGTCTACCGGACCACTGAACAATCAAGAAAGACAACATCTTCCTAAACTTCAAAAATGTATTTAAGGGTAACACAAACATAACAAAAACATTGATTTAACAACATTCACTGCAACATGGCGACATCCTCAGTTGATGGTGAGCACATCATTCTGGATCTCGTGGCTTAGCTGGGTCTGAAGGTCACTCAGTTTCCTTTTCAGGATGGCTAGCGCAGACATGACGATGGTCTCTGGTCGCAGAGACCCACAAGACTCCACGTTGTAAAAGAACCTGTGAAACGGCAATCGAGCCACAAATGAGTCTTTTAGTTCAGAGGAGAAAAAATACGACTGAAACTAATCGTAAACGATCATGTGACCTTTCTGGTTTTCCATTGGGGTCATAGGGAGCCTGGACCTCATCCTCTTCAATCTCAGAATATTCACTTTTTGGCCTAGAAATCAAAGTGATGTATTTTTGGTCTGAGAAAATCCACACCACAGTTGTTTATAGAGTTTGTGGTTTTCCTTGTTCTTACCATTCTTCAGGCCGTGGGTAGACCGTGTGTCTGAGTGCGTTGTCTGGGTCATATTCAAAGGATACGCCCGCTGTTGGATTCCACTTAGCGTGCTCTTTACCAAAGCCTTTCTTGGCGTACGCCCTGAGTCGGAGCTCCTGACCTTTGCGCAGCTTCACCAACAAAATGTCTGAGGAAGATAAGATAAATATTTAGTTCACATCAAGATGATTCATGATCTCCATGTTGATATGTTTTAATGTTTTTTTCTTCATTCAACTTACCATCTTGTTCGACATAGTCATTTGGATCATTGTCTCGACTCCTGGACGTCACCTGAAAATGAACATGAAGAAAAACGTCAGCCTCTCCTTTCTGCTTCAACAAAGTGACATCAAATTTTTCCTGAAACTCACAGGGATGACTCTGGGGTTGTTGGACAAAAGGTCACGCGAGGTTACGTGACGTGTCTGATCTTCAGTACACCGAACATCCAGGGTTAATTCAACAGAACACTCGGGACAGAAATCATCACAGGTGCAGTCCTGGAGAAAAACAAAAACTGAGTAAGTTTCTTTTAACATGCTGTATTGAAGGAAGAAATGTTAAGACAAAGTCCGACAAACGCAGTATTCAAACCATCAACACTCCCGTCACAAGCCTGTTCTTTTAACAGGATGCATTTTTAACAAATGTATCTTAAAAGATTCAGGCCCATTTGTGATGCGACCCAGAAAACTCACCCTGGAATATTGTAGTTTGTCTACAATGTCATCACTGGTGAGAGGTATGAGGCCTGAGAAATGAAAAAACAAAAACTATTAAACATCAGTCTTCCACTTATGACAAAGCTTCTGCACTTCTGACATTGTACCATCAAATGTAATACGAACCAACTCTGTGTGCTATGAACTCATCATGTAGTACTGATGAATTGGCATCGATCTGGATCCAATCAATTGCTGTAAAAAGAAAATAATTTGATTAGCAGTGCTAACATATAAAATCCGTAACGTGTTAAAGTAGTGTGTAAATATCAAGCTGGTCAAACAAAGACATGATTTTTTTTTCCAATCATATAGTAATATGAATTAAAAATATTTTTTTTCAATCATATAGTAATATGAATTAAAAATAATAAGTTAGTATAAATAAACCTCACCTATTGTGGGAACTTCTGACATAAAAACACGGCGGATAGAATTTGCCACCCTGAGAAAAAGAGGGGTTTGATGTTAAATGTGGAAACTTGAACCAAAACCACATTTCTTACACACATAATCAAACATGAAGGAAAATCATTTTACATTGTTTGTGAATCAATGGTCATTGTCTATATGTTCATAATAAATGGCAGTCGTAGTATTGACTCCTTACGTGAGTATTAATGACACAAGCTTTATTTTGTTAAAGAAACAACTTAAGAATACTACAGGCTGCCTGTATCCAGGCCGCAAAGGAAATGTTGGGTTTGAGATTGTGTTGATGATGCTGTAAACAAAGATGGTTGCTCCCAGTGACTAAACTTAAAAACTTACGCCAAATCCGTGTTTTCAATAACGAACTTAACATTTTCGTCTGTCAGTTCCGTAATTTTCACCGTGGGCTGGTTCGCATACGGCATTTTTAACTTGAAAACTCGGAATCAACGTCCTAGAACCGTCCACCCGCTTCTTCGATACCACTAGTTCGAACTGAATGTTCACTCGGAAGTAGTTAGTAATCTTGCGCGACCAACGTATATAATTCCAGGTTACAATTGGCCATTCTGTCAACATAGGGGCGGGTCTTCATTTTACATCCGGGTAAGGAGAAAACCGGATACATCTGTTCAAAATAAAGCTCTGTATTCGTTCTTTGTCTTTTTGTATAAAATAATGTTATTCTATATAGCTGTAGGTATTTTACTTCATTAAAAATACTCTTAACTTAAAATATTTAAATCTAAATATAAAAAATAAGCTTTGTGAATACCAGACATGGCCCCGCTTTATCATTTATTACATAGAACAAATACAAATGTAAAAAGTACAATAATATATCTTTATTTTAATACCATTTGCTCCAACAGCATAATGACAAATCTGGGTTACTTTTTATACAAGGGGAGATGAACAAAATATAATTAGATTTATTGATCTACAGCTCATCAAACAAGTTGGATGTTCTTTGAAGAACAGTGTGAGTGATTATCGCCTCTGGTTCAAACCTGTCAGGTTTTTCAGCTGAAACGAGAGATACATTATTATGCGCAATTCAAATACTAAGATTTAAAATAATATCAAAGCAAAACATTTTACAAAAGGAAATACTTACTGTTACAGCAGCTCCCATAAATCCCTGCACAACAGCTTCACCGGTCGACTGTACCTACAAAACAAAGTAGAATGTGCTATTATTGGGTAGAGTTGAGATGTACATTCCTAAACATTTTAAATTTTTCATTGCTTTTGCGCTCTTTAAGATGAAGAAAAAAAAGCACAAGCTTCCTTAATACCCTTACACTAAACAAGGAAAAACATTGAGGTTGGTTTTGAGAATCAACTCAAATTAAATACCTCCATAACTCCACTTTATAACAAACAAATTCATACACATTTCATAATGAAGTAAGGGACCTGAAGGTGTGGCTATATAACACAGTGCACTGCACCTGTTTAGCAGAGGTGGCCATGTTGGCCATGTCCTGAATACGGTTGTCAAGAAAGTTCCAGGTGTCCTGGAAGTCTGGAGAGGAATCCTGCAGCATCACCAGCTCTGTGGTGTTGTAGATGCCTGTCAGTGCCGCACGTTTGGTATACCAGTTCATCTGGAAACAAGAAGATCAAATTATCACTGTTACCATACCAAGTTCAGTGTCTGCTTATGGATTACCTGGGAGTCACTGAAATCCAAAAGGTAAAATACACTAAAATATCTAACAATTAATAAAAATGTAGCAAAAGAAAAAGCTGGAGAGGGGAGGGGAGAAGAGGAAGGTGGGTGTAACCTGTAAGGTGGCAGGCCGGATTTTATGGGGATGCTGATGAAAGGGGGACAAGAAGGTGTGAGCAGAAGTAGGAGGGGATCGGGGGTGATGATAGGATCCACTCACATCTGTGGATCTGTCTCCAGCATAGTACCATATGTCGTCCACCATGGTGGACAGGTGCTTCAGACTGTCAGGGATGTTGTATGGGAGCAGCAGAATACTCATTGCCTTCAAACATAAAGAGGAGGATCAGATTAACTTTTTTCCTTCAGGCCCTCTTCCTGCTATCTCTCCTAGGACTTGTGAACAGGAAGACTTTACCTGTGGCCATGTGTCAATATAGGGGATGTTCATCCTAAGTCTGGTCTCCACAGCATCTCTCAGAAAGTCAGCTGTTTTCTTTTGTCTGAATAACAAACATGAGAGGAAAAATGAAAAGTTTAGTTGATAGAGATTAAATGACCAAGTAAGATCCTTGTTTTAGGAGGAAAGTTGCAATACAGAATGGATTTGGGGCATGTGTGTATTTGTGTGTCCTACATACTCAGCCTGGCCCAGCTGGACCTGATTGTTTTGTTCAGCCAGGATCTCAGTCAGCTGTGAATTGCATTGCGCGATGAAATGCAGGACCAAGTCTCCAGCTCCGTTGTTAAACATACCAGTGGACGCAGAAGACAGCTCCAGTGTCTAGTGTCAAAAACACAAACAAATATAAATATTTCTCTCTGAAAAACTGAGCTGAGTCTTTTCTAACCGTTACTTAACTCTAACCTTAACTTTTTTCTGTGTTCAATGTATATTAGATCAATAATTTACCACAGCTGTATGATAATGTAACAGTTTGAATATTGCCTTTGAGGCGCTTTAACTTGGGCATGGAAATACTGTGACATTTTACATTCTGTTTTCTCTTGAATTAGTCAACTTTAGTCCCACTATTTACCTCTGCACCTGCTGCAATGGCATCAACTGTCCAGCCGTGGAGAGGAACAAACTCCAGAGCTGCAGTTAGGATTCGAGCTTGAAGCTGTTCCTCCGTTTCATACTCTTCACTCTGCTCTCCACTCTGATCCTGGTAGCTTCACAGTGTAAAAGTTATGGTTAATCACAGACACTAGCCAAGGAAGTATGGAGTTGAGTTTCAGGAGTAGTGTCCACTTCTATATGCCAGACACTTCTGAAGACAAACTAAGGTTAACAATTAAACAATTAAATCATACCTGGTGTTTGCTCTAGAAGCATCTGCTGTTGATGGATCGTCTGCAGAAGCTCCATGTGATGCTGCTGTTGTGTCCTGGTCTGCCGGATGAGCCTGATAATGTTCATGGTAGCTGGTGGATGAGGATGAGGATGAGGATGATTTGTCAGATTTGGATTCATCCTGAAGCCTCAGTGCTGTACTGTGGAAGCCTTGTGTCAGACTGCTGCACCGGGGGGTAGATGTGGCAGGTGCAGCTACAGCTGAAGGAGGCAAAGTACATTTTCTGTGTCTCAAAAATAAGTAAAAATGCAAACTTTTAAGTGAAATATGACCATGATAATAATGAAATGTAGATATACATAGATTAAACTCACAAACAATCACATACAGTTCACCAATATAAAGCTAAAAGCACAAAACATAAAAACACAATATAATTGACTCACACGTGTACTACATTAACATGTAACGTTACATAAAAAGCATTATTCCACCCTTCTCCTTCATAAAGAATGAGTTTCCGGTTCAACTTTGACAGACAGGGTTTGACAACTTGTATAACAACAGCTAGACGAATACGCCCCCCAGCTGCGGGGACGTGTTAACCAGGAGAATGACGTTCACACGCTGAGGTCATATCCACAGCAAATTCACGGTCATTGTGATTTGTTAATAAATCCACTGCTATAAATATATATGACCACTTCTGTCCTTCAGTGTTGACATTAGCACAGAGAGCTAACCTTAGCAATGTGTCGTTTCAAGTTCATGCAAATAGAGGGCCACACAAAGGCACTTGGGAGTTTTTTTTCAGGGCGTTTATAACAAACACGAGACTAAATGAACCAAGCCGGTTTCTCACCTGAACCCAGCCCCCGCAGTGTCCTTCCAGTCCGCAGTGCTCTAAGTAGCAGCGCCGCCATGTCCAGCTGCACGGAGGGGCTTAATTTCAGAACTGCTGCGTCATTTCACTGCGACCCTTGTTGACAAATTTAAACCAGTCAAACTTGACACATTGTGGCTATGAAGAAACAGGATGTCCCTTTCAATCTAAAACGTGTAACTTCTGCGTCTCCGAAATATGAAGAGATTTGAAGCTCCAAAATTAGACAAATCCAAGTCGCTGTCAATCAATCATTTAAGTGTCTGTGAATTCAACAGGAACTTGTGCTACGAGTTTTATTTGTGGGGGAAAATATTTTGAATCTTGATAAGCGTCTGGAAGGACTCCACTTGACTTCTGTGGAAGTAAATTAGTCTGGGTCAAAACCTAAATCTATTATTTGTATTATTTAAACGATAACTATGTATTAAACTGTGTGTAACCGTTAACAGTATGTAAGCGTTTACATCGATTAGTGTGTCTTAAGTGTGTCTTATTTTTAACTCAAAACGGAAGTTGTTTAGAAAGTTGTGAACTACACAGTATCAACGACCATTGGGGTAAGCAGGTAGGTCACGGTCTTATCTATGTACGTTTGGAATATGTTTTGTTATGTTACAGTTGAACGCCATAAATAAATTGAGAAACACAGTTTGAAAACAGATTCGTTTTTTGATCGCGTACATTTTTAACGTTATCTCACGTGGTCCCTTCACCGGCATTTTCTACGTCAACGTTGTTTTAACTTCACGAAACAAATAGCGAATCGTCGCGTCTAACTCGTTTTAGCACATCAAGCTACAAACCCGGTAGGTGTTTACTATTTCAAAGAAAAAAACTAAAAAAGACGTATATTGACTGCTAGCGTAGATACATAGAGCAACTAAAAGGTAAAATTCCAGATAATTCTACGTCAAGACGGAATTGACACCTTCTAAAAGTCATCCTTAAACCCAGCCTCAATTCAACCATTACACTGGCACTGAAGTCCCACATGCTACATTTAAGTCAAACTCCCCATTGTTCAGCTGAGAAAATCCCATAGAAAAAAACAAAACAACAATCAGTAAAACCTGTAATCATGATATTAACTGTTCCTATCACTACTGCTGTACGTCCTTGTGGTGAAGATGGGAAACACGGTAAATCCACTTTTAAGCCACGTTAGAGAAACATCTCTTTGGTTTCAGGAAGTCATGGCAGACGTCGGCGTCAAAGCAGGAGATCAGGTTCTGTTTGTTTGGGCTCAGCCTTCATCACCAGACACCCTAAAACAGTACGCAGAAGAGCTGGGAGCTGCTGTTGGGGCCGATGGGAAAGTGTCAGTGGAGAACATGGAGAGACTGCTGCTGTGTGAGTGACCTAAAATCCTCTGATGGGGTTTTCAGTCAGTAGAGTCACATCTAGAGCTTAAATTGAGGCTGAAACTGATTTTTGTTCTATTACTAATTCTTAACTAATTCCCTTACAGCCTCTCACCCAGCATCCACCTTTGACTGCGTGCTCTCCTGCCTCCTGGCTGACAACTTTACCTTCCACAGTTTAGAAACTCTGGCAGAGATGACCCGAGTTCTGAAACCTGGAGGGAAACTTGTTCTAGAAGAAGCAGTAACTGGTGAGAAGCACACGTTATTTTTACCACCTTCACATATTCTGTCTGAGGTCTATGTTAAAAGGAAGGGTTGTGGTTTTATGTGATTTATGTTAGACTTGATTTCCCTCTGTGTCCCAGGATCTGATCTACAAACTATAAGGACATCTGAGAAGTTGACATCAGCTCTGAAAATGTCAGGATTCACCTCAGTGACAGAGGTGAGAGAATCCTAAGGTTCAGAGGTTCACCTGAGACTTCATTGTTGTGTTAATTACACAGTTCTAGGTACTTCAAGAGCACTGTTTGTTTTTGCTCTAATATTTGAACCTTAGTTTTTATTTTGTAATTGTTGTACTAATGGCAAAGTAATTTGCCTTGTATAGTAATTGTTATTAACACAGTGTCATGTGTAACACAGTACAATAAAGTAGCTAAAAAAAGTCAGGTATTTGAGTTGATGAACTGCACATACAGTAAGTCTGGTTCTGACCCCTTGACTCTCATGACCTCTCCTCGTGTAGGTCAGTAGAACAGAACTGAGTCCAGAAGTCCTGAACTCTCTCAGGACGACCACCGGTTACCAAGGAAACGACTTGTCTAGAGCCCGGTTGTCAGCTTCCAAACCAAACTATGAGGTCGGATCATCCTGTCAGATTAAACTATCATTTGGGAAGAAGACGTCAACACCAGGTTGGTTCCTGCACTGTATATACATTTATTTATTTATTTTAAGTTTTTTTAAATATTTGAGGCTCATTTTCTTCATGTTTGGTCATTACAGCAGAGAAACCTGCTCTGGATCCTAACACTGTTAAAATGTGGACGCTCTCTGCCAATGACATGAACGATGACGACGTGGTGAGTTTCTAACATAATGCCTTTGTCTCATACAGTGGTTTGTACACGGGGGACATGAAAAAAAAATTGAGCACCACTGCTTTACAGTGATGTCTCTGTGGAAAAAGAACTTTAGTCGTTACCATTTAATCACAGGTTTTTCTTACTTTTTTATCTTTCCAGGATCTGTTGGACTCTGACGCTCTGCTGGATGAAGATGACATGAAGAAGCCAGACCCCAGTTCCCTCCGAGCCGCCAGCTGCGGAGAAGGAGCGGGAAAGAAGAAGAAAGCCTGCAAGAACTGGTGAGGGGCAGAACATAGGTCATAGGTCACGACTATGAGCAGGAAACACTCATATTACTGCACAATAATCTGAGTTGACACAGCAGTGGAGCAGTGTGTGATGCCTTCTGTGTGTGTGTGTGTTCAGCTCATGTGGTCTGGCTGAAGAGTTGGAGCAGGAGAGTAAAGGACAACAGAAGGCAAATCTACCAAAGTCTGCCTGTGGAAGTGTGAGTACTGACGTTTATTCTCCCCCGAAAACTGACTTTTACAAAACGTCTGTTGTAAATTAAATGACAGGATAATTATGATTAGGGGTGTAAGAAAATATAGAGATATATCAAGATTTGATTTGGATTTTTATTAGTTAAGGTGCAAGTATTTATGCCATTGGTTCATTTTATTTTGCTTTTTTTGTAACCTGTTGTTAAGCATTAAAGCATGACAGTTTTCTTAGAATTAAATTCTAAAAAAAAAAACCTCAATACATCCTGTGTGCCTCTCGCAGTATATCGCAATATATCGTATCGTTACCCATGTATCGCCATACGTACAGTATCATCAAATTCTTGCCAAAAGAAAAGATCTATAATTAATGTTGTTCAACAAACCAACTAAATAATAAGTCCTGGTCATACCCTGTATCTGTGTTCCACTTTTTCCCTCATCCTCCTTTGTCTTCTCTCCTGTTTGTGACAGTGTTACCTCGGTGATGCGTTCCGATGTGCGAGCTGTCCGTATCTGGGAATGCCCGCCTTTAAACCAGGAGAGAAGATCGTACTGGACAACACCACATTACAGGACGCTTAAAACAAAAATTTATGTTTAATACTTAACAAAAAAAATGACATTCCCTTTTTCTCCTGTCTCTGCTACACTGACTGATGCAAAAGGTTCTTTGAAGTGAGATTTTTACATTTTCCCCTGTCTTCTCTCTCAAAGTCTGACATATAAATCAGCAATATCACAGTGTGTCACTGGCTCTGCGGCTGGGACCAAATATTATTAACAACTGCTCATAATGATCACAGAACATCTCAAATCATCTTGAATTCAAATAAAGCATAAAAACACTGGATCTGTGTAGAGTGTGTTGATCTGCATCATCTAAACATCAGTGAAACAAAGGGACAATTTATTATTTAATAGTTTAAATTCTCAGTACACATTCAGCATATGTGGGTGAAAATATATCAATAGAATTCAAACTTAATAATGTATAAAAAGGCAACCGTGTGCAGAAGGCCCACGTCTGTTTCTTCTGTACGGGCTGTTAAGTTCACTGTTAAATATTTAGATGTTAAACGCCATTGGATTATGTAGAAATTGAATTTTAAATAATGGTAATAAGGTTTAATGATGTTAAGTCTGTGAGGAGGTAAAATGTGCAGCTTTTAAAAAAATAAAAATAAAAAAAATCCTTCTTCAGTCAGAGACTGTTTTCCCGTCACAGAGACGCGACACTGAAGTCCATCTTTATGTCTCCTGAAGTGGGTTCAAACGTGAAGCTGTACGTAACCTCAGCCCTTCCTTCACCCGAGCTCTCCCACGGCGACCGGAAGAAATAAACTCCCTGCCTCCTGTGTCTCACCCACTCACAGTCACCCTGCAGTATGAAAACAACAAGACCCGGGAAAATAAGAACCGTTCAACACAGTCAGAACATGTCATGACCATCTGAAAGTTCAGGGAATGATAAAAAAACAAAACATTCATAGATTCTAGTTATTTAATGTTATATGTCCAGAGAAAATAAATAAATAGAAAACTAGCAGACACAAACCTGCTCACTGATTGGTCGAATCAGACCAGAGCTGACAGTGATGTCACTGGTCAGGTTGTATTCCATCCACAACACAACACCATGACAACGACCCACCCTGAAAAAACATTAAAAAACATTGTGTATTTTAATTCAACTATAATCAGTTACAAGGTTGTTACACGAACAAATTCTGTACCTGATTAAAGGAAGTGTGCCCTGGCTGCTGATTGGCTGCTGAGGGAGGCACTGTTTAAAGTCAAAGGCCATGACCGCGGCGGCGTCTGTCAGAGCACGACACGGATACTCCCACAGAGGATGAGGCTCCGCCTCCCGGGACTCACGGAAATCCAGAGATTCCTGCAAGGTCACGCGTTAGAAAGAAAATGGATGTTGGTCATAGAAAATACTGTGAAATGCATAAACAACACACAATGAATCAAAGTCAATGAAGAAACCTTGTTTCATGTTTGTTTCTTGCGATGGGCGTCTCATAGCAAATAATGAATCAAAGTCAATGTTTGTTTCTTGCGATGGGCGTCTCACTCTACATGTTTAGAAGAAAAGTGTTACCTGGACCATTTGATCCATGGCCGTCACATCAAAGCCCTCACATGTTCCACATGGAGCTCTGATCCTCCACAGATCCTAACAAAACACCAGAAAGAAGATGTCATCAATAAATCAATCATTATCTTTTTTTTCTCTTAAGCATTTTAAATGATGTTCATCTCATCGTAGTGTTTTTGTGGACTTAAAAAGCTATTTAACTTCCAGACATTCTGCAGGAACAGGTACTCTTGAATTCATATTCTTAAAAATACAGTTCAAATGTGAATTTGTCAGAAATAAAACCCTGGATCGATATCTCGTGCCTTCTCACCTGGAACTCCACAGCTGCCATGTGGAGTGTGGCAGAGCAGGGCAGGATGGTGGCGTCCGGCTGCAGTAGACCTGCGAGTGCTGTTCGACAGTACCAGAAGTAGAGCGAGTGCCAGGGCAGAAGACTGGTGCTGAAATACGGTTCACCAATCAGGACTGAGATCTGTAAAACAGACAAACATTTGCTTCATTTATCTGTCCGTCAGGTGATACACACCAGGCCATGTTGCACAGCATTTGTAATAATATTTTGTCCATGTGAGAAAGTGACAGGACAGAACTAGTTGTTCATAAAGTTGTTGTTTTTTCTTTGACAGATTTTACAGAAGAACCTGAGCTCTAACTCTAACTGCGGGGTCTAACGGTGACATGAACGCAGACACAGCATTGCACCAGAAATGTTCTGCAGCTACCTGTTCTCCACCAACATCATTACTAGTCAGGTGTTCTGGTCTCGTCTCCAGCAGTTCAACAGCCCCATCCGCCCTGTTAGCTTCAAGCACCTGTAGAGAAACATGTTTAAAAAAAGGTTTAACAAAAATTAAACAAAAATCACATGTTGTTCTGATGATGAACTGGATTTCTGTTTACCTGCTGAATAACCTGCTTGGACAACCTTGAATTTTCCAAACTAAAGACCTAAAACAAGATATATTTATTAAAACAAAAAAAGTCAAAATTCTATATCATGTTGTAATATCATGTTCACAGCAGCAGTACCTTCTTGGCTCCTAACTTGTGAGCAAACACAGGAAGCAGACTTCCATCACTGACGCTCAGACATACACTGTCTTCTCTTAGAACCTGTACATAAATCAAGATCAAGAAAAAAAACAAAAAACAAAACACCAAGTAAAGATTGAAAAAAAAAACAAAAAAACAAAACACACGCATCATCTTCATGAATGATCGATCCAGACTTACACTGCGCAGTGCTCTGATGAAACTCTCATTACGGTGTCTGTCATTGAGTTCACCGAAACGCGGTCGATTCCAGACTAGGTGAGCCTGGCAGGTACAACACGGCCGGGAGGGAATGGTCTCAGTCTGTTTGCTGCGCAGAATCAAACACAGACAGTTGACAGGATCACTGAGGGCTGGATTATCAGATCAGGTTTCTCCATGGCAACTAAAGACATTGTGTTGTCACTGAGCTGTTCTACCTGGGAGACTGCAGACTGTACCACAGACTGTAGTCGTCATGGCAGACAGTCAGACTGAGCTCGTCTCCTTCTTTCACCGTTTTCTCCTCAGGCAGGAAATACACACTCTGCATCCAGTGGTCCCTCCACTAAAAAACACACCAGCATGTTGACAAAGATGCAGCACAGACAGCACAGACGGTGACATTACAACTCAACTCACCGGCGCCATCTGTGGCTGTTGGTATGTCCAGCTGGGAGCCATAGTGCACACGATACTTCCACTGGGATCCATGTCCAGGTCCCACCAGGACAGGACCACCTGGGCTCGACCACCGGACCGGGCCACAAACTGGGATGAGAAGGAGTGGAAGGCACTGCTCACTGGTTTGCTGAAGTCCACACTGTGATGGAAAACGATGAGGTACAAATGGAAGTAAATGATTCTGAGTAAATACATTCTGTCTTGATTCCTGGTTCTTTTGTGATTCTGCAGAGACAAATAATGTTGCACACAGACAGATACACATGGTTCAACTTTAAAGACTGAATAATAACTAACAATATGAACAAATACAACACAGTTGTGACAGATTTCTATTTGTCATCAGTTTTGATCAGCCTCCAGTCGGATCATTCGTTCCCACATTCCCACCTGAACATGGTGCAGAGAGGACCCAGTGGTGTGAAACTGTCAGGCGACACTTGGCTCAGCTGGATGTCACACACAGAGTGAGCTCCAGCACAGCGACCAACGGCAGGTAGAGGGACCAGGTGGACGTCCTCCACGTCCACCGGCTGCAGCTGAGCCCAGCTCCACAGCAGCTCCGACTCCACCAGCTGAGCGTAGACAGTGGCTCGATGAGGAACTGCCTCACAGTTCTCCTGTGGGAGGAAACACACTGGGGTTGGGATTTCACTGCTTGGAGCCAAAAAACACAAAAACAAACACACACAAAAGACAAACTTTGTTACACACCTGGACCAGATTTTGATGAGCGTGTTCGTAGCTGGGCAGGGCTCCTTCACCGATTAGTTCTGTGTCAAACAGCTCTGTTATCAGGATGTTGGCTTTGGTTGGCATGTCGCCATCTTTATGAAATAGAGAAAAAACAAAATGGGAAAAGGTGAATAGAAAAGAAAATTAGGGATGTCTGATATTAACTTTTTGTATGAGTTGCTGACACCAGCATTCTGCATACAATCCCCTGATTATCAAAATTAATTAATTAATTGTGCTGCAATGCTGCCATCTAGTGACTTTCACTACATCAGTTTATCCCCAAAACTATTCTTAGGGCACAGATTATTTGACAAAATCCAGGCATTGCATTATTGGGTTTTTAATGATTCTTACAGATATTACATAATTATGCTAATATCGGGTTGATAATATTGACAATCAAATATTTTTGTTTGTATTTTTAGGGAGAGAGTTGTTGAAGAATAAGAGACTCACCAGGCCCAACAGTGACATCAGTGGAGTGTTTGTTGATAATTTTGATCCTGTCAGCGAAGCCGTTCTTCTCCACAATACACTGAGCTGCTTCAGCCATCGGCTTAAAAACCTGTAACCGACAAAAAAAAACAAACAAACAAACAAAAAATTGATTTCATGGAGACTTCAACAAATCTCCCTTTCTTTTACACTTTCACTTTAATATTGGTGTGTGTACCTCTACAGCATAGCAGAAGTCAGCACCAGCAGTGAGGGCCATCATGGACAGCAGACCTGTCCCTGTCCCAATGTCCAGGATGATAGCCTTCTCCCCACGAGCCTTGACTCTTGCCACGGCAGCACGGATCCCCTGGTAGTATTTCTCATTCTAAAAATGATGCCAGGTTTAACATAATTTTCAGATGGCTACTTCTGTGTTCAATGTTAAATATTTAGGTGGCAGTATTTTTATTAATTATTATCATGAACAACTACTTCCGTATTTCAATAAATACATAGATATTTCAATAAATATTTAAGTGGCAGTATGGATTTTTTAATCAGTTACAACTTATTTGTTACCTTTTTATTTTTGGCTAACCTCTAGCTATATTCTGCAGTAACTATGACAGATGCAACAGCAGTTGTTACTTACTTTTTTTGTTTATTTTAAATCCATTTCGATTCCTTATTGGACAACAATAATAATTTAATTATTATCATGAACAACTACTTCCAAAGTTTTTACCATCACCTTCTAGTACTTGTATACTTAAATGAGCAATGTATAATATTAACTGCTTTGTCTTTCAATAGTAGACAATTAAGAAAACACATTTTTACTAGTGTTTTAAAAACATTTTCGTTTTCAACAATAAGGTTTCGTGTCTTTATACAAGAGCCCGGTACATTCTATAGCGGTGTTTTTAGAAGTAGTCCAACTTATGTCCTAATAATAAATGTAAGCGATCCCGTGTTCACATCACTCACCCTGTCATGGTCATGAAGCATGTCAGCATAACAGGACCTGGAAGAGAACGGAACCAGTGTGTTGTATTGACAGCGGTGTCAAACGTACCACAACAAACAAAAACACATGCCCATACCGTGCTATCTCCTGGTGATAGTCATACTCTTCACTCTCTTCCACCCAGTCTAAAGCGCCGGTGGTCGGGTTGGCTCTTCCACAGAAAGTCTTCATCTGTCTCCAGGTTTTAAAACACTCCACTGAGTTTTGTATTTATATAAACTTTTAGATTTTTTTTTCTCAAATTCTGCACGAGTCTGAAAGCACCCCGAATTACAAGAGAAGCGTTGCAACTACGGAGGCAGCCATTTTACTCCTGACGTCACGGACTTTCTTCTTCATGTGATAATTACTGCCACATATCGAACTGAAGGATGTAGAGCGACATTACAGAAACGCTAGATCGGACAGGGACGCATGCCATTTAATAGAAATATACAGTATGTTTAACTTTTTGGTTTTAGAATACATTACACTACATTTTGCAGTCATTTTTATTCAAAACGATATACAGTTTGAGGAACAACGGTTACAGTAAACATAGCAGGTTATTGAGAAAGAAGAAGGTGCATATACGATACATATACATAGTCAGGAAAAAGTGCTCATGTTTACAAGTAAAACATGTGAATTTATGACTTATTAATAAAATAGATTTGTTACAATTTTCCATTTACAAAACAAAATAATAACTCAGATTATTAAAATTATTTTATAAAGAAAATCTCAAATATGATTGTCAGTCTTTTATGCGCTTTCCTTATTGTGCAATGGAAAACAACCTCAGACGGGAAATTTGTCCAGGAGTGGAATTTTCTTTTTGAGCCTCAGTGTGGAGTTGACCTGTGCAGCCGTCAGCAGGCTGTGCCACTGAGCCACAGGCCGTCGTGGATTGGACAACATATCTGCCCAGTGCCTGAGCTGGTTTCCTGAGGCATCACAGCCCAAGAAGATCTTTCCCATGGCATCATTTTTGGTCACTTTATCATGATCCCACACGGAAATGACCAGGTGTACCCTCTGGAAACAACACTAGATCTTAGAACACATAGAGGTGTGCAAAGATGAATGTTCTTGAGCCTTTATAAAATCTCCTTCGTACCTGGATTTGTTCAAATGACACGTCGAAGGTGAATGATTCGTTGTAATAAGGGTTCACTGTCTTCTTTTTTATAGACGTCTTTCTTTTTTTCCACTTCCTCTTATCCAGTGCCAACTGCACTTTCACATAAGGATCTACAAAAAAAACAAGTGGGAAACAAATGAGTGACAGTTAAAGCAAAGTCAAGTATAAGTTGTAAAAGTAGAAGAAGTGAAGTTGTATGTTACTCTAACCTGAATGTAGAAGTAGAAGAAATGAAGTTGTATGTTACTCTAACCTGAATATCCTCCAACGTCCATGCTCTTGAGATTTCTGGCCTCCAGAATGATCACAGTCAGTTTTCCAGCAGTGGGAACATAACGTAGAGAGAAGCAGATGTCACCGAGCTCTTCATCCTGCAGAACACCGTCAGGAAATACATTGGTTTTAAAAACACATAAATACTTTGGTTATACATGTCAATTTTAATGGTCCTCAATTTACATTTTCTAGGGATGTCCGATATTAACTTTTTGCCACTTTCTGATTCGCCGATACTTTCCAAACACTTAATTTCCAATTCCAATATCAACTGATACCGATAATATTTATTTGTTTATGTGTAGAAACCACTTTATTGTGTTTCTGGCACCAGCAGTCTGCATACAATCCCCAGATGATTAAATTAGTATCACAAAAGCTGCAATGCTGCCATCTAGTAACTTTCACTTTAATATACAGCCGTTTATCCCAAAAACTATTTTTAGGGCACATCATCATTAAGAAAGGATCTTTACAAATATTACATAATTCTGCTAAAATCTGACATCCCTAATATTTTTGGTTGGTCACAGCACTGCTGAAAAAACCAAGGTCTTCAGCCTCAGCTGCTCTACCGACTCAGGGGTCACAGAAAAAACAAGGTCTTCAGCCTCAGCTGCTCTACCTCAAACTTGGCAGGTTCAACCAGATCCTGCCACTCCTCGATCACATGGTTCCAATCCACGTTGCTCAGCTGCACCCTGATCTCACCGATGATGTCGTGTTTTCCGAATCTGTTGAAGTCGAACACCTTCATCACCGCGGTGGACTTTAAAAGAGACGACTTGGAGATCTGGGAAAACATACAGAAGTGTGTGTGTAGAGTGTATGTGAAGATGTTTGGACCACACAGTAAGCAGATTGAACTGTGAGGTGTTTTGAAGAGCGCCTTCAACAAGTACGTAGTTAAATCACAGGAGGGAAGGTAGGACGTTAACTATAATGAATGAATTACAGACGACAGGCTCCCAAACTCTTACACTGAATGTGAAACGCTCATTGAAAACTGGGTTCAGCGTGCGTCTGAACACTTTGGTCTCATAGGTTTTGGATTTGTCCGGGCAGATGTAGACTTTGACATAGGGGTCAGAGGTCCCACCAATGTCCATGGCCTTCAGGTTACTGGCCTTTTTGATTCCCACTGTGAGCTGAAAGACATTTTTGAGAATTTTGTCACTTTTAGTAAATAACTCGACTTAGGTCTTGCCATTTACAGAAGGTGATGAGGTACAATTCTATTGTCAGCAATTTAAACTGGAATTTCTCTCAACAATAACAGACTATTTGAAATGATCACCTCAGAGAGAGGGGCATTGAACTCCAGAGAGTAGAGAAGCTCTCCTCTGTTTTCTTTGGAGGAGCCATCTGTTGCACCTGGCTGAACCTGCCAGGAAAAAAAAGAACTCAGGTTAGAACGTCACAAACAGAATCTGAACGAGACTTTTTTGTTGATATATACAGCAGGAAATGGTGTAACATTTACCAGCTCAATACACAATAGACATATTACTTAGCTTATTTTATCACAGAAAATAATGAAAATATTGTAAATGTTTATATACAGCAAAAACCTGCGATCAAAAAGCAGATAACTCAAAGCCTGGGTCTTGCCCAGATGATGTGACCTAACAATAGTTGAATTTGAAAGTGCATTATTGTGAATGGACCACATTCTCATGGACTCACCAGAGCAGTAATGGTATTTCCATTCACCCCTGGAAGATTGATCTTCCCGTCCTTCTTAAGGTTCTGCTTTTGCTTTTTGTTTTTGCAGCACTTGACGCAGATGCAAACACAGCAGATGATAATCAGCAGAATGACACAGGCGATTATGGTGTAGATGGCCCAATCAGGCACTGCCAGGGAGCAGACAAATATATTGGAGGTTAGGTATGGGGTGTGTTTCTAATGGCTTGGACACAAAGACACAAAGACATTTTCACAGTGGAGACGTTTGTTTAAACAGTGTTTCACCCATTAGTACAAAACTGATGAAACTTTTTTTTTTACTGATTTGAGGCTGCAGCAGTTTCAAAGTCTTTCACTGTGAAACTTGAAGCACTTCACTCCTTGTTGATACAAATGATACAATTTAAATCATCCTTCAGGAAACTTACAGGGTATCTTGTCGAATACATCTCCCAAAAACTCCTCAACAGTGTCAGAAATCGCTCCTGCAGGATGGCTACTGTTGCCTGTGGTGCCACTGGTAGAGATGGTGGAGGATGAGGGGGTAGTGGACCCTTTCATGGAGGGTCTGGTAGTGAAGATGGATATGGCAATGGTGGCGCTCATTGGTCTGGTAGTGGGGCTGGTAGTTGGTTTTGTTGTAGGTTTAGTGGTTGGTGTGGTTGTAGGTTTAGTAGTAGGTTTAGTAATTGGTGTAGTAGTGGTGTTTTTAGTGGTGGTTGTGGTAGGAGGTACCAGTACCCCCTGTTTTGGGGCGGCAGTTGTGACAGACTCTTTAGGGCTTGTTGTTGTTTGCTGCAGAACAGGAGATACTGATCCCGGCACAACTTCTTTCGGTTGGCCATTTTTGATCGATCTGTTAGTCTCTGTAGAGTTTGGCTGGATGGCAGGCATGATGTAAAGAGGGAGGGGCTCTGTGAACAGAGAAGTCAGTGGTATGTAGCTGTGACGAGGTTGGACATGCAAGGAAACAGGACAGAAGGCAGAAGGTGGTTAAACTGGACATATATAAAACAGTTAGCACAGACAGAGATGTGAAGGTTTAGCTTCACCTTCGCTTTAAAGTCGCTGGTTTGAATTCACAACTGTCGGGTGTCGAGATTGGTCTAAATCAGTGGTTCTCAATTAATTTATGTCATGCTCCGGGGACAGAAATGTTTCCACGGCCCCCAACCCTCACAACCCACGCCCCCACAAATTGTAATACTATTGAGAACCTGTATATTTTTATCTGTACAAACCACTGTATGAGTTGCTGCCACCTAGTGATTGGAGGATTGTTATCATTCAAGCATTACAGCAGTGGTGCACGCGTGTAATATGGCACGCAGTGAGGTGCCCCCTGTCTAAATTAACTATGGGCTGTCAGCCATCTTGGCTAATTGATGTTGATTACTGAGACAACTATCAATCCTCAGACATACTACTCGTTGTCTTTGGTAAATAAGTGTAATTATTTATAATTAAAATAATTAAAAAAACATGTCCGTCCACCTGTCAGTCTCCTCCAAGCTCACATTAACCTTCTCCTATTTTTTTTACCTCTGAATGGCACTCAAATTAATAATCATTATAATACTGTATATCTCTTTTAAAAAAACCCACAATCACACACAATCTAGTATGACAGACTGTTGATGAATGAGAAGCCTCCTATCAACAACGATGTTTCTAGTCAAACAAACTGCTGGCATGACAGAGTAGAATTCCACATGGAAGCCTCCACCATGAACAAATAGCAGGAGCTGATTAATCCACAATCTGATTTAACATCTGAAAACAGGCTACTGGAATTTGTTTGCATACTCCGACGCTAAAGTAAACGTAACCTTTACCTTGGCTGAGCTGAAATACTCTATAATTCTGTAACCCAGCAAAGATTAACATCAAGGAGAATAAAACCTTTAAAAAAAATCAAAGAGAATTAAATCCTCAAAAACTCACATTCCCCAACAATTCCTTCCTTCACAATCACATTGTTCTCAATTGATTAAGTTTGTGTGACCCAGCATTAAAGAAGCCCAAGTATAATAATACTGTATGGTTACTCACACAGTACAACATAATTCTAATTCTAATTTAATCTTTAATCTGCAACACCTGTTCACACCAACCAAACATCAGACTGACTGCAGACTAAAACTGTACATTAAACATCAACTCACTGACGGTCGACTCTTAAGGAACTCTTTGCCAACATCCCAGTCAAATCCCAGTCACATGAAAGCGTATACTCAATAAAACTGTAACGCTGAGAAGGAAACAAAGGCCAGGGAAGTTTTTCAGGGAAGTTGTGTGTAACAGTGGGAGCAGTCTTTTCCTACATCAACAAGTGGAGGAGGAGAAGAAGGAGGAAATGACTCCTCCCTCTGTTTACATCCAGGCTGTCTTCAGGCTAATCAGCAGTGAAACACAACATCTTCATCTTCATCATCATCATCATTAGGTCAACCTTGATCTTTTTTCCTTCCCAAAAGGACTAACCAGACTAACACACAATTTTTTGTCAGCAGAATTACATAAATAACACATTTTTATAAACAAACTGCACAAGATAAGTCAACGAATCAGCTTGGCTGCTAACGGCAAAATCAGCCAATAGTCACTTTCTTCATTTTTTTGATGGAGTTAGAAGAGTAGGAATACTGTTGTTGTGGGGAAAACAAAAAATGAATATGGTGATTTTTATTAAGCTAACACCTAGCTGTTTACCTAGGATGAATAGTTAAACACACTACTAGTGAAGTCTTCAACAACTAGCCAACGATGACTAGTCACACTGGTGGTTTAGGACATTTATTTCAACCACGTTCTGAGGCAAATTTCCACACTATGACATTCTCATGTTCATTATTGAAGTTTAGAGTTGTTCAAGCTGGTTTTAGTATGGACTTATGGACAATAATAGTCAATAAACAGGGAGTAAATGAAATGAAAAAATAAAGAAAGTAACTACATATGAATTACAAAAAAAACCCGAAACTAAACTCCACACAATTTTCTGGGTGGTATTTAAATCTTAAATACATATTCACATGTTGATCACACACTCCTACATCTAACGAACAGAATGGGAAACCATGAAAAACATGATTCTACTTCAAGGCCTCTACACTGGAGGACGTGAGCTCTGATGTAGGCAGTAAAGACAAAAAGAGAAACAATAACAACAGTACCTGAGTGTCACGATGTTATTTCTTCGTCCTTTTATTTTGGAGTCATTTCATCAGTGGTTGTTCTGATGGCTGAACGACGTTCCTGTGGTGCTGAGCCTTAGTCGGCCATCTTCAGATCCTCGGGTCTGTGTGCTCCTGGCCCGCAACATGTCACCACCCCCGCTGAACACACACACACACACACCCACATACTGACAGAAACCTAGTGTTTACACAGAGGTGGAGTCTCTGATGCTAAAATACCAGTTATTCAAATACACTACATTCTTTCTTCAATTTTCAAATTGTCTTGAGACGTTTCATATTTTCATATTTTTTTCTTCACCTACATCCCCAGTATTATTTTATTATTATGACGGGGTTAAAACGAGCTGCTAATGTCACCCTGTGGCTAAGAATATGATACAAATGTGCTATGGTTATGGTACCAGACAGGCTTAATGAAATTATTATTATTTTTAAATGCTAAATTTGAAGATTTTTTTTAGCCATTTTAAAGAATTTACACACACACACAAAAGCAGATGCTTTTATCCAAAGCGACTTACAAGAGGAGGAATTACAATCAGGTTACATAAAGGAAGACCAGCAGTTAGAAACAGCAGAAGTGGAGAAGGAGATAGACGAGGGTCGAGGTGTTCAAATGTACAAGTTAAACGGATCATTGGCCCTTCAGGAAGTAGAGTCAGATGTTAGCATAAAATAGCATCCAAGCATGGAGTCAAAGATAATGTTTTCTTGGATTTTTCTCTCTGCAGACTATTGATAAAGTACTTATAAACACTCATGTTCTTAAGTCGCCACTTTATTTGTATTTCGATCCAGTTAAACTAGTCAATGGATTAAGATGGAGTTAAATGCCAACGTTCCTTGTTTCCAGGCAGCGGGTTTTGACTGTGACAGTCGTTAATGTCTGACATGACTGAGGAGGATTGGTGTAAATTTGGTTGGTTAAAAAATGTCCTCGGCTTCTTTCTTGGTTTGAGCTCAGTTTCTACAGCGTTTATTACGTCATGTTCAAGACCACTCACGTCATTTCATAGCTTGGCGAGTATATATATACATGTTTTTTTCAAATTCATTGTTAAATATTTTCCCTGAAGGTATATAAACATGGTGTTCTAAATTCTCTCTTCTGTACACTGTATGGACAGTGATTGTGTTTTATAGGTGTTTCTACGGTTAAACGGAGTAAATATTGAAACCTTTTTTTTTCTGTAGATTGTACTTTTATTGGTTGTACTGGAGAGTTGAGCAAAAACAGGGCAATCATTTAGGGTGAAGTCAATAAAATAACAAACCATCAACCAGAGTGTATCACGTTGTTCATTTCCCTCCAAAACAAGTCATACAGTGTAGTGTATCACTCTTTGGTCAAAGTGCCACAAACACCCCGTTTATACAAAAGAGGGAGTCAAAAATTGCTTTACATATTTTCTGTCTCTATTTTTATTTATCCCAGAGACTTTCACTGCTTCGACTAAGGATGAACTGTTGTTAAAAACGGCTGAATCATTTGTCTCTATGATTCTCTATGCTGTCTGTCCTGGACATTAAAAGAAAACTTCCTTTCACCCAAAATGGTACGTATACCTCTATAACTCTGTTACAGTCCATAACATACAAATATACAAGGATGTTAAAACATATGCTCATAGAAAACAAGACGACTGATCTGCAGCCAGTGATTGGTTTACTGCCCCAACCCGTTTATTGGTATTTTGCACAGGACACTTAAATAACAGAACTAAATGTGAGTGTGTTGATGAGGACAGACGAGTCCAGGAGACTGGATGAAGGTTCAGACACAGACACAGCTTTTCCCCAGTTTTTCATCTGTTATATTTATATACACTGAAGGTGCGACAGCGGCTGGTGGATCAAAAGTTGATGGCTTTGCCAAAGGAGGCGGCCAAGTTTGCTTCTCTGAAGGCCTCTGACACTGTCTGTGGGACAGAGTGAGAAGAGAGAAGGGTCACTTCTAGTTTTTTTTTTAACATGACAGATGAGACAGAAAACAACCCTGGGCTGGAAATGAATCCATGAACTCAGCATCATAGCCTTGTCTAGGCAAATGTTTCTTTTGACTTACTGACTCACTGACTGATTCACTTTTTTATACAGCACATCTTAACGCAAGTTTCATTAAATGTATTCAAAATGAACAAAAAAAAATTAACAAAAAAAAAGCTTCAGTAAAACGCTATTGGGTCCTGAACTTGATAGTTTTGCTAAAAAATAGAAGAAGAAAAAAACTGGAACTAGCATATTTGCAAAATAACACATAGCAGACTGCTGATTTGGACAAGAAGGATCTTTTGACAATACTGTCTTTACATCTGTAATAACAATTATACTACCAGAAACTCACTGACAGTGTTTAGCTGCGTTTCTGTGTGCGTGTGTCTGTGTGTGTGTGTTACATACTGGATGTGCGTGACACACTCTGGCCACATCCTCACAGGAGGCTCCGTACTCCATGGCCAAAGCAGCTTCATTAATCATCTCTCCTGCTCCCTGTTGAATTAAAAACACACAATGACTTTTATTCCTCTTTGTGTCTAAACATTCTTTTGTGCAGATGCCAATTTGCTTTCATCTTCATTAGTAGTAAATGAGGGAGGAAGTTCTCACAGATCCCAAGATGTGGGCTCCCAGCATCCTGTCCGTCTCCTTGTGGCTGAGGATCTTCACCATGCCGTCAGTGTCAGCGTTGGTCCTGGCTCGGCTGTTGGCAGCGAAGGGGAACTTTCCAATTTTGTATGGAACGCCCTGAGAGCAGGTGAAAGGAGGGAGATCTTTTTCTTTGTATCATTGAACAGTATCACCTTCATCATCATCATCATCTCACACGCTTACCTCCTCTTTCAGCTGCTCCTCGTTCTTTCCAATCCAAGCCACCTCTGGGTGAGTGTAGATGACGGAGGGAACACAGTTGTAGTCGATGTGCACAGCTCCACCAGCCATGCCCTCCACACAGATGATGCCCTCGTCCTCAGCCTTGTGCGCCAACATGGGCCCAGCAATCACGTCACCAATGGCATAAATGCTATGGTAAAAACAACAGTCGCTGAAATGTCCTGCTTTATTTCTATTTAGGTTAGGAAGTTGATCGATGCACTTTTGTGACTGACATATTACATAACATATTTTCCGGACTATAACTCTCACTCTTTTTCATCCTTTGGCTAGGTTTGCAACTTACATATTAAAATATATAATTTCACGTTTGTTATTTTCACACTGACAGCCGCTAGAGGGCACTGGTGGGACTTATAATCCAGAGCAATTTATATTCCAGATAACTAAAACATATTAATATTTAATCACTCTCTTTGACAGACAGCGTCAGCATCAGTTCTGTGGTACCTGGGTACGTTGGTCTGGAAACGGTTGTTGACAGGAATGCGCCCCCTGTTGTCCAGCTCAATGCCAACTGATTCCAAACCGAGGTTCTGAGTGAAAGGTCTTCTGCCGATGCACACCAGCAGCACGTCACACGACAGTGTTTCATTCTTTCCCCCCGCTGCTGCCTCCACTCTGAAGAATCAAACACATCAACAGGCGTCGTTACTCACAGGTCACTCAACAAACCCACAAATCAGGTTTCACATTTCAGACATCAACAGCTTCAGAAATGTTTTACTCACGCCACATCAATCTTGCCGTCAGCCCTTCTGGTGGCTCCCAGGACTTTGGTGCCAAGTTTAAACTTCACACCCTGCTTTTGCAAAATCCGCTGGAAGTTCTTGGATATTTCCATGTCGATGCCCATGCCTCCCACATGGCCCAAGAACTCCACAGCTGTGACCTTGGAGCCCAGACGCTGCCACACAGATCCCTGGGAGGCAGACATTACAAAGTATTAGACTTTGATGAGGATGAAATTTACTTAAGGAGCTGAAGTTATTCATGGTCAGATGATCAGTCAATGAGATTAAAAAAAAGTGTTAGAGTAAAAAAAAAAAACAAAAAACCAACCAGTTCCACTCCAATGACGCCAGCTCCAATCACAATCAGCTCTTCTGGAACTTTCTTCAAAGACAAAGCTCCTGTTGATGATACGATAGTGTCCTCATCAATCTGGAGGGAGGGAGCGAGGGGCGGGGAGACAGAGAAAGAGATTAGGGAAAAAGAGAGAGAGAGCAAGAGAAGCCTGAATCGTCTTTTTTGGGGAGGGAGTGGGCCATGTAAACTACAATTAAAGGCTATTTCTGTCTGTACCTCGATGCCAGGGAAGGGCGTGACCTCAGAACCAGTCGCAATGAGGATGTTCTTAGTGTTGATGACCTGCTCACTGCCGTCTTCTGCCATGGCCGTCACCTGGTTCTTACCCGTGACCCTCCCAAAACCACTGACGTGGGTCACCTGGAGGGCGTGACAGAAGAAGGAAGGACACACGTTCACGTTAACAGGTGAGAAAGTCAGAAATAAGAAAGTTAATATCAACAAATAAAGAGAAAGACAAACTTTGTTCTGTTTGAATAGATGTGCAATTCCTCCCGTAAGTGCTTTGACTGCCCCACTCTTCTGAGCCATCATCTTCTCCAGGTTCAACGTGATGCCTGAAACTGTGACAGTGGGAATTGAGTTCTAGGGCTTCAATGATTACTCAATAAACACAAACACAGTAATAAAATTGTATGAAAATATAATGAATAATTTTCTGGTTCACAAACGAATCCAACATACCATCTGTGACTAAACTATAACACAGATGTGGCTCAATGTTGTGTTTTTTTCCACAACTGTTCCAAGAGTTTTAATGGCTGGACTAGGATGTCTGTAAATGCACTTATAAGTTCAATGCAGTCTCTTACTTTCAATGCCTCTGTTTTCAAAGTCTTTTCCATGAGCCAAGTGATAAAGGTGGGAGTTGTTCAACAGAGCCTGAAGACACAAAATAAATAAAAATAACAGGAGGTCCACAGATCCACTGACATTTGAAACACACATATTACTGAGAATGTTTAAATAAGTAGGATTTCTCCATTACCTTTGAAGGGATGCAGCCCACATTCAGACATGTCCCACCTAGTGTAAGATTCTTCTCCACACAAACTGTCTGTTAAAAAAAAACAGAGCAAATATGTGAAATTAATGTGCCTTCATGTTTCTTCATGGATACAAATATCTCCATGAACAACTTCAACACTAGTCAACTTACTTTGAAACCAAGCTGTGCAGCTTTGATGGCAGCGACGTAACCACCAGGACCGGAGCCCACCACTGTGACGTCTGCATCAACTACATGACAACAACCTCTGTTACAACTCTGACACAGGAGCTCATAGAACAGGAGAGAACATGCATCATTGCTTCAAGTTTGAAGATTTTATATTCACTTGATTTCATTTGAAAATATTTAATAATAATAATAATCACACCTCAGTGCTCTCAACAGCCCATATACCATCTAGGTAAATTTTAACATTTTGTGCTCAACAGCACATAATCCATCTAGGTAAATTTTAACATTTTGTGTTTTTTTTTATTCTAGTTTTAATTCCCTAATTTCCACTTTTTTAGAGCTATGCTCAAGCAGAAATAACAATATTTAAGTGTAACAAATGGCATAATAAAGTGCTATCTATCTAACCAGTGTCTAAAGAGGCAATTAATTCTGGGGTTAAAGTCTATTAGAAGTCTATTAGGATAAACAGGTGATAAGATAAGAGATTTCTTACTTGCTGCTTTGTCAGCATAGGTTCTGACCGACACAGCCGTAACTCCGTGCAGTTTACAGGGAAGCTGGTGGCTCCGCTGTCAAGCAATGTGCAACCGAGTCAGGTGGTGTCAAAACAGTCATAAGCAATACATAAAAATAACTTAAAAATTGCCTGACTGACTTTGTCTACAGTCGTATTTAAACTTAAAGAACACACACTTCATCTGTTTCGAAACTATAAAATAGACTCAATAACGTTATCCCTGTTTACATCTTCAATAACTATCCTGACATTACTTTACATAAGCATTTCCTATAACTAACCCCACCCCGACGTGATGGTAAAAGTTAGGAAAACAATATATTCCAGTCAGTTTTACAAATTGTAATATGCTACATTTGACTACAGTTATAGAAACTAAATTTGTGATTTTCTAAATGACATCTGCTGTGGTTCCTCTGCATATGCGATGTCAAACAACTACAGCTAGTTAGCTGACAGGCTAACAGGGCCCCACAGGCGAATAGAAACAAGCATAGTTCTCGGGACATACAGTTTATAACATCTCACTAAAAATATCCTTTTACACTGGCATTTAAATGGTTGAATAAGACCCTCGCTTACCGTGGCCAGAGCCCGGTATAACTGAGTCCAGCTCTGCATTTTGTTTGTGTTCCTTCCCACGACAAGTAACCTACAGCAGGCTGGGCAGCCAAGGACTCCTGTCACTACGCAGGCGCAATACCAACCCAGAAAAACACGCCTGGACGTCCCCACTTGATGACGTATGTAACTGAAAGATGCACGACATCCAAACAGGTAAAAGTTATTGACTGCCTTGAGATTTCAATTTTAATTTAATTTACTGAACTTCATTTATATTAACATATACGGTAACAACAAATGTTTAACATTCCCTGTTTTCATTGACCCTAACATGGCACATCAAAGCCTTACATTCCTTTTTTCTTTACGTTTCTTTTCTTTATATGATTTATGAGCTAATGTAAAAAAGATTAGAATCGCATACAAAAACAAATAAGAAAAACCTTTTGCACATTTGTGATATCTTAATTTGTCTAAAAGTTTTAGTTTGTATTGTAGTTCGTATTGTGTGTCAACAGGGGGCACCAAATTGCAGCTAATTAATACACCAGTGTTGCCTTTACATCGACTCCTAAAACGCAAATTTAAGAAACGCGGTGAAAATGGATCGAATTATGCCATTTTGAAGTGTCGAACGCCTTTTGAAGTTATAACCACTTATATTACACATATATTAAATGATATTTTTAAGTATTTATTTTTCTTTTACATACACAGTTAAAGCAAAGTGGTTCATTGTTGATTTAAGTTGGACTGAGATAGGGCTCAGGTTAGGTCAACGTCAATCTTAAATGTGGCCCACATTTTTCACAAGTGGGTAGTAGATGAGGTTCATTAAGGTTGTCTAAAAGACCAGTTTTGCTCTATGTATACCAGGTGGTAGATGAGGTTCATTAAGGACCAGTTTTGCTCTATGTATACCAGGTGTATTTACGATTTATTTTTTCTTAACAAACAAGTACTTATCTCTCAAGGCAAAATGCTTCACTTTTCTCATGATCTCATTTCTCACAGGAAACCAAGTTAACAAGGTTTAATCAAAATAAAGTAAATTCAGATAACAATATGACATTATGCCTGCAATAGAAAATATTTTAAAATAATACAGAGATGCTGTTAATATTTAGCAATTCATTGCACTTATTCATATGATAATGTGTTTATAAGTTGTGAATGACAGAAACAGGCATTGAGCCTGACGTCCTCTGACCTTTTTTTTCTAGATTACCTCAACAGAGTCCCTAAAAGTGTTTCCATTACAAGTTTATCTTTTGAATCACAGTGAGTTGGGGCCCCTTGGAGACCTGCTGATAGTCGAATTCAATTACAAACATGTTGCCAACATCCCGGCAAACACTCCCTTGCACTCTGAAAGAAACACCGGCTTTCAAAGTCAATAGTGGCCAATGTGAAGAGCTTGCCTTCATGTCCCCGTCTGGAGCCTTTTCACGTGCTAAAATAAGAGTGTCCCCCTCTTCCCCAAGTTGACATGAGCAAAGTAAGCACAGTGAAAGTCCCAGAGAGGGCTTCCATTTGATGACTGGAAACCTCAGGTCCTGCATTTCTGTGACACTATGGACACTACAAAAGGTCGTCGTTTCTGTTGCCTCAGAAAAACACTGAAAGAAAAGAAAGAGGTAGTGCATGATGATAAGGAGGAGGGAGGACTCTAGTGGGTAAAAGGGAGGAGGGGTAGTCTGGCTTTTGAAATGGGACAAGCGCAGATGTACGGGAGGATTAGGCAGTGGGTGATGGTGATGTTCACCCAGCTCGACTCTCCGTGGCCTTTTGTGGCTCCTGGAAGCCTTGGAGTGGTAAGTTGCTGGCCAGTGTGCCAACAAGGCTCAGTGTACAGCCCGACAATAGTGGAAGAACCCAAAGGCAATGGCTCGCTATTGACGTCTGACTCCAAACTCTCTTCTCTTTACCCTACTTCACCCACCAAAACGTATCACACAGTGTATGAGACAGGGGAGCCAGTTCAGATGTTCCCTATCGCTTCTTCTCATGCTTGTCTCTTCAACGTGTCTCGAAGCTGCTGAATCTTGGCAGTCTTCTAATACTCACTGATGATCTTTTGATCCCGGTTGCTCCAAATAAAACTCTTCTTAAACTCTGCCAGTTCCTGTTTAACCCTCTGTCTTTTCAACAAGCCGACTGTCTCCAAACGATTAATTCTAGCAGGTCTCGCTTTTGGGTTAACGTATCATCATTCCACCAATACTGAAAAATCCAAGTGTTGCCATATTGATTGAGTAAAGTACTGGCCAACAGAAAACTTTTTTGACTTTTCTTGCATTTCAAAGACCAGAAGAAATATCCATGTTTTGTCAGATGCATGAATCCTGATCTGCATCATCCCAATACGTCACCCAGCCCTGAGAGGAGTGGAAGAAGCACATATTCTTAGAGTGCATTGAGAAGAGGAATGCCATTGAATCTGGGTGTCTTTTTTTCATGAGCCAACCTCTTTTGTGTACAAGCTATGGAGGTCCATTGTGCGGGCAGACACCCTGAGAAAAGGGGCGAGCTTGGAGCTGTTGTCTCCCGATGCTTCTGCAGCAATTGCACCCTAAAAGGGCCTGAATGAATCTTTGCCATCGGAAGCAGCCGGCCTAAACCGAGAGACAATACCAGTGGGGAACTTTGAAGACCAGCAACAATTAAAAGTGCAGCTTCACTATATTAATTATGCATTCATGCTTTTGTCTTGGCCCTTTCTTGCAAGGAGAAAAGGGGCTGAGGGAGGGAGGAATTGTGGGGCAACGGTTTAAAATTCAACAAGTCTGAGGCAGAAAGGGAGAGAGATTACAGTGGATAAACAACGCATGCAAAAGCTTCAGTAAACGCTGCTGCTGAAATGTCTTTGTGAGCGTGGTCGGACGAGAAGTTCAGGGGATTATGTACACTTACAGGAACTCGTGCAACATGAATAATTCAGAATTAATCTAATAAAGTAGATCAGTAGACACAGACAAATATAAACAAACGTTGCCTCGAAAATAAATGAAAAAGGCAGATGCAAGAGAGTTGCTAGGAAACCTGTAGTTACAGCTTGGAGTTGTGCAGTGCTTTTCCCCCCTTTAAGTTTTTTTTTCTTTTACTCCTAAGTTGCAGGCAGGACACACATTAAGCAGCTTTCTGAAGGCATTGAGGTGAATTTCTGCTGGCCAGCGGCTCTGACAGGTGGCTCTGTTGTGCTCCCAGTTGCCAGCAAACAGCTCCTTTTGCACCAGTGGGAAGGGTTATTCAGAAAAAGCCAACACTGCTTTGAAAAATCACTTCTTTTAGGGGAAATTTATGCCTCGTTTACAACCAAATCTGTCAGAAGGAAGACAGGAGGATGTGGACTCCTAGTTTCCTGCTGGTGGTAAAACGCACAGCACATGCTTTAAATTTTCAGAAAGCAGCCACAGTGAATACCGCACAGTGTGTGCTTCACATTCACTCAACCCTGGTGAAAACTACAAGGATTGTGTCAGGAACCAAATTCTGCCAAGAGTGGGCCAAAAGTGAACAACAGCTTGTTAAAGGTAAATTATGCAGGAATTTTGCCCCCAAAAAATCAGAGCATATGACTCCCACTCCCACATTTAGTAAAATAACTGGATTTCAAGAACCATCAATAAGAGAAAATGTTTTTGTGTTGTGTTTCAAGGACAGCTTTCAAGGTGAGGGAAAATGTGAAGTTTTTGAATTTGTATTGAAGCTGTAGCTCCTGGAACAATGGTTTCCAGATTTTTCATCAACACATTTCCACAAAAAAATAATATAACACAAATATTTTCTTTAAACTTCACTCAATTTAACACACCATAATTCATTCAGTCTTCATTGAACAAAGACGATACGTTTACAAGTCAGTTCTTTTCTCCTGCCTTGGGATAAATTGGAAAAAAAAAATTAAAAACATTTGCCTCCAAAGTGCCCCCCCACCAGCCATTGTGAACCAGAAGTCACCAAAGCCTAATATATGAATTATTTTTGTATTAACCATATTAATTAATTATAGAATAGATGAATCTGAAATGATAATGAAGCAGCAAACTCATTTCATGGACAGCAGTACTACAGCTGATTTAAGAGCACTCCCCCACGGGGTTGAAGACTAGTTACATTCTGTCTGTATACACACACGCCCACACACACACACAATAGAAACAATAAAAACCATAATAGTGGAGACTTGTCTTCAAACAACTGGACATTTTTACAGCTCTCAGTTGGTGACACGAGTCTCTCGGCTTAAACAGTCTTCATGTAAACTGTTTGAGAGTGTATCAACAACAGGAGAGAAAGACAGAAAACAGAAGTGGGCGCTCTACGCAAAAACAGGTTTCTGTGTCACAGGCTCGAAACTGCCAGTGATCAATTGTAATTAGCCGGGAAGAGATATGTGTGTCCAGCAAACCAGTGTTGGTTGAAAAAAAAAAGTGGAACAGATAGATCATGGGCTAGAGTCTACACCTCCAAGGCACAGTTACATGGACATATCTTTGTAAAAGTTAATATGTTGCATTTTGAGTAGCAAAATGATCCAAACGTTGGAGATGTTGCTGGATATCTGTTCACCTAACCATCATGGTGTCTCTTAAACTTAGTATTTTCAAAGCATTATAGTTGTGTGGCTCAATTAGACAAATCCAGGCATGGGCAAACTAAGGCCCGGGGGCCCGATGTGGCCCGTTCGGTTTTTTAATCCGGGCGACCAAACCTTTCCAAAATACATCATTTATTTATATTATCATTATACTTCTGCCTTCTCCCTGCAATACCCACGTTTTCCCAATAGATGGCGTAGGAAATGATAAAAAAAAAATTTTTAGTTTTTATGCATGACTTTTACATGTCATTTATGTTAGTTCACACGAACGCTCTGCTCCTGACCCGCCCCGTAGCCCGTGAGTCAGAAAGTTTGCCCACGTCTGGGCTAATCCTTTAACAAGAATATAGTCCAATAAAACAGTCGTACATACACTTCAACTAAACATCACTCAGGAGATGAAGCACGGTAGTTTTTCTTTTTTATTATTATTGTGGTAATAAACAGTGACTATGTAGCATATGCCCTAAAGTAAAGTGTTAAAGCAGCACAACTTCAGTGAGGTCAGGGTTTACTGAAGTTTTGTGACAGCTGCGTGGTCTGATTTATGATGTTCA